GAGGCATGAAACAGATTCTTCATAGCTATCAGAAGAAGCTAAACTTGCAGACACTTTGATCTTGAATTTCTAACATGTAGAACTGAAGACAATACATTTCACTACATTTCCATTGTTTAAGCCACCGGTTTTAGATTTTGGTATGAAGCTCTAGCAACAGGTTTGTATTCATAATGCCCTAAAATAAGGGACTTGAATGGTAGGGCAACATCTTAATCTGATCTGTGAGCTAGATTTAGAAAGTTTTCTCTTTCTTGTAAATCTTTTGCTGAAAGTGGCAGAAACAATAAACATTGATTTCCACTATCTATCTAGCCTATAGCTACGTTGATCACAGTAATCTCCCTTCCAAGATTTTTTAGGCAACAATTTGTCAACTACTTTGCCACTTAACGAGTCCCCAGTTTTCCAGACTGTCCTCATCATCTGCTGCCTGGCTGCTAAGCCAATGAAGCATACATTAGTATTTTTTAGGGCAGCATCCCACTTCTAAATTCTAAATTTTGTATTGCTCAGAGTTCAGTTGCAGAGAAAAGAATCATCCATTTTAGCTGGAGTAATCAGAAAGGGATTTAGTACAGGTTTTGTTCTAGAGAATCAGTTGGAGGACTAAAGAAACACTCAAAAAATGCTTTGAAAGAGTACAACAGAGTTAGGCCACCAATGCAGGCATTTCTATAGCTGTTGAAACTACTATGGTCATAAACAATCTTGAACAGGGCAGGTGATGGACACAGAAACCTGCAGAACTTCAGAATCAATAAAAGCATCACATTCACCATACAAATCTTTCATGAGTGCATCTGATTAGCAGAATCCAAGTTAATCCAGCACTGCAGTCACAAGAGTATCTGGGAAATGTCTTTTCTGGACAATGATGTGCCAGCTAAAATCAAGGGTTCTATTTCTGTGAGAAAAAAGGGAAAAGGGACATTGAAGAACAGGAGTAGTCATATTGTGAATATAAAATTTAGGATAATTTTGGCACAGAGTGGGCCCTTAATAGTTGACAGATTTATGAAAATAATACAAATGCCCTATTTTAGAGGAGAAGATGTCAAATCAGAAATATGAGATCAATATGTAAAAGGAAAGTATGTCACAATTCCTTTGAGCTTTTGCATGTCAAGGTGCAGGACAGTGTTCTCTGAGTTAGAGTGTTTCCGATATAATTTATGGTTAACAAAGTTCATCCTCTGGAGTAAATCACCTTATGAGCTAAAGATCCTGGTCCAGTTGAATTCTCTGTACTTTTTTCTTTCGTAAGTTGTTTTATCTCCTCACTTTTCTGACACTCATGATCCAAGGAGAAAAAGCTCTCAGATGTGTATCAAGCCTGGTTTTATCTTGTCAGGTGTGATTAGGGGACGTTTTTGCTGTTGTGCTTTCCTTCCTCAGTTTTTATTGGTCCCGGCCTTGGCCTTGACCACTTTCCTCTATTGCCTGCCTGTTACCTGCATGTCTAACACCTGCCCTGCCACCTGCATACCCTCGTCCCTACCTAACAATCTCTTTACATTTAAATGCTAAATTTAGATTTGTGAAATATATTCAGAACACAGGTAAGCAAAGCTTTTCTATGAAGGGTCAGATGGTAATATTTCCAGTTCTGCAGACCATAAAGTGCTTATGAAATTTCTCAATCATGACATTGCAGCATGAAAGCGTCATAGATAATATGTAAATGAATGAGTGAATCTACATCCCAATAAACTTTACTTACAACAAAGGAGTGAGGGGGCTAATTTCACACATGGACTGTAGTTTGCTAACTCCTATTTTAGACAATTGCATGAAATAAATTTAAAAAAAAAACCTTCATCAGAGGTACCTTGCTGATCTCTTAAAATGTGGACTCTAGTTGGCTCTCTCTCTCTCTGCTTGCGCAGTTCTTTCTATCACTACGCTCAGCCTAACTTCTGGTGCATAAGACTGGAAGTTAGACTGAGAAGTTAGACTTCGTCTGCTTGGTTTCACTTTCAGTTCTGGCCACTGTAAGCATAAGCACAACATGAATTTTTTTAACTACAATAACCATCTCATAATGGAGACAGCAAGCTGCTACTAACAGTGCTTAGCTATACATGAAGCAACCTATGTGTTTTCTGTCCGCCTCACTGTGGGCTGGACTTACAGACAGGCTTCTGATATCCTTCTAGTATTGTGAGCACTTGTGAGCTAGCCTGCCTCCCACACCTAGCTGGAAATTCCAGTCAGTCCTAGGCCAGCTTATTCTATTGCTGCACTGCCCTGACAGGGCATCAGCTGTCATAGTGACAGGGAGCACAAGACCTCTGCCACTCATGAGCTGTATGACTCAAGATAGGTACTTAAGCTTTCTATGCTTTTTTTCCTAATAGGTAAGATAGGGATCATGATAGTATCTACTCAGACAATGCTTGGACTATGCATCAAGCACTTGATAGATGTTATCTATAATGGAGAATTTGCTATTAGCTATTTATATAACTTATGATAATATTGTTAGTTGGCTTCTTTTCCTCAGAATATTTTGAAATATGCACAGGTAAATTTTGAGTTTTGGTTTCCTTGTTTTGTTTATTGTTTTAACTGTGGTTCCTATCATGAATATTTCTATAATCAGTATGGTATATTTACTATTTAGTTGCTGTCCATTTTCTTGAAAGTATACATATTTTTTAAAAAAATAATTGAGCATAAGCATTAAACAATAGTGCAGACAGAATAAAAGTAAATCACCAAAAAGTAAGTAGCAGAAATCAGTGCCATGGATAATTCAGTATTTGGCCCACTGATTCTTTAGTCACCTGTTCCTCTGGCCTACTCACTCCTCACAAAACCTTGCTTCCTTCTTTTCTGCTGGTTCTTTAACATAGTCAGGTGGGTCTTAGCTAGGTATTCATATAGATCACCCAGGGAAACTTCTTATGTTAGGGCTGACCTTCCACAGCCCACCGGACAGAGAGCAGAGACATCGAGGATGTAATCACACAAGGAGGGGTTTATTTTCTGGCTAGCCAGGGTCCAAGCCCCAGAGCACCAACGCAGTGGCACTCTCACAGGCAAGGACCCGACCGGAACAACGGCATGCCTTTTATCCCATGGTGCACAAGCTGCACACAGCAGTTTTGCTATCAGTAGCATTCCATCTTTGAGAGAGATAGGATGGTTTTCAATTACATCAATTTCTTTCTAACTAAGAAAAACAGGGCAACAAGAGAAGACAAAGCAAAGAAACAGAGACTACACAGAAGTGGGAAATCACTTGGGGCATAAGTGTGATGAAATGACCCTGTCCCCTGCCCCAGAAAAAAACACAGAAAGAAAAAGGGAAAAGTCAAGTTAATTTTGTCATATAAATATATGTTACACAGGATTCTCTGAGAGAATATTCAGAGCTGCTCAGCAACGTACCCAGAGCTGAATCTTAATAATGAGAGATACAAATTTTTTACTTTTCTGAAATAGATATAAGGACTTGTTCCTCTCCACCATTAAGCTCTGTAAACCTTCAAGGAAGAGATTAAGTCTTTCATTTCTGGTTCCCACTTCTGTGCACAGGTGCCTGAGAAAAAGCTGTGAAGCACAGTATTAATTTAGTGGGGATAAGAGCCCCAGTTTTAGAGTCTAGCAGACTTTGACCAAATTCCAGCCCAGCCACTCAGTAATGAAGTAGCTTGTCTTAAGATCCATGTCTGGGCTCCTCACCTGTAAAACACACTCACTTTAGGGAACTGTTAAGAGGATTCAGTGAGATATAAAGTATGTAAACTTAATACAAAGTACTTTTCCTCAACCATCTCACATTATCTATCCGTCCATTCATCCAGACAAGGAACCTCAATAATTGATCAATAACTAGCAAGTGAATGTTGCTTTACAACAACACACAAAAATAGTTTTCCATTACTATCTCATGTGGAATTATAAAACAAATTATTATTCATTTTATATATAAACAATAAAATAAGGTAAAAAAAATACTGGCCAATAATAACTAGCAAGTGGTATTTGGTGATTCTTTTAGTGAGGCCAATTTGAAGATTTATGGAGTTTTATTTATTTTCATTGCAAGTCTATCAAAAAATGACTAATGTATTGCATTGCATTCCTCCCTACTCTTGGTTCTCAAACTACAATATAAGTTGCAAACAACCCAAGCCTGGCTATTCAGTGCATCACAGCTACTCTGGCAAAGCAATAAATTCACCGTTTGCCAAGCATCACATCAGACGGAGGACTTCACAGACACTGGGAGAAATGTTGCCCATCTTCAAGAAGATGGAAACCCGAACACCAGCACCCCCAACTTCTCTACTTTTAAGGTTGTCCCCTGAACTTTTATCTGCGGTGGGGGTGGGGTGGGGACGTTTGGCGAGAGGCCAATTCACACAGTGGCGGTGACTTTGTTCACATGCGTTTAGCTTCCGAGCACTGTCAACCCTAAATCAGACTAAGCAGGAGGCGGAAGGGCCCATCATCCTCGGCTCGGACGCCTTTTCTTATTTGACTTCTGGTCCTGGGAAGAACAGAGCTGCTGCGCGACAGATACCGGGTTCTTCTCAACCGAGAATTTGGGCCAGCCTTACCCATCATTGTCATCCTTCACTTCGCCTTGTGTTCTTATTTCTCACAATCGGTTTACTGCCTTGCGAAATCTTTTCAAGATGAAGTGGCCACAGGCCACCCCGACTGATCCAAGCCCACCGGCAACCCGAGACACCTAGGAAAACCCTGGCCCGCCTCCAGCCATCCCACAGGCTCGCGGAATCATTCCATTTCCCTGCGACCAATCAGCGCTCCACACGCTGCCGGGCCAGCCAATCCGAGCCAACGCACACCGCTCCGGCCATCTCCCCCCACCCCCTAGAGCGCCGGGGTCGGGCGAGGGGGCGGGGCTGGGTGCTGGGGGGAGGTTCGGCTGGTCTCTCCCCGAAGAGCTTGGTGCTTTCCAATTGGCTGCGACCGGCAGTTACTTGACGCTCATTGGCTGCTGCTTCGGGTGATGTTAAAGAAAGCCGTGTTGCCTAAAGTGGGAGCCCGGTTCGTGTTCCGCTTGAGCGTGCGCCTTCCGGGTCTCGCTTCACCTCAGGTGGCGGTGGGGAGAGCCACGGAGCCGCGGTGAGAGAGGGGCGGCCCGGGAGAGGACGGCTGTGGCGTTTGGGGCGCTCTGCTAGGTGCGTCCTCTTGGACCGGTTCCTAGCGGTGGGGTGAGGGAGGCCGCGGTGGAGGTTGGGGGTGGCGGGCTCCGGCGTCCGGGCGGGTGTCGCCCTCACAGGTGACAGAGAAAGCCGAGGCGCCGGCAGGGGAAGGGGCGAGCCGGGAGGATCCCAGCCAGGGCTTGCACTGCGCCTCTCCCCTGCCCTCACCAGCCGAAGTACTTTGACGCCGATTAGGCCTCAGTTTCTTCATCTGTTAAATGGGGCAGGGGCGGCAATAACCCGCTTCTCGCGCCGGGGTGAACATTTATTTCCGTCGTGTTCGGTGAAGGGCACAGCGCTGCCCGGTTCTTAGTAGAAGCACAGGGAAAGGTTCATGCCTCACACCACGCTCTGATGGGGCTGGTGTGGATGACAGGAGATAAACTTTTCCGAGTGCTTAGTATCTTCCAGGTTCAGTGCTAAATGTATTAATTCCTCAGTAAATTAGCGTAACTATTTAATTTGCACTCAAGAAAGATTACCTGAGATTTTGGGGTTCAGGAGCCAGGACAAAATATGACAAGTTCAAAGTTGGGGTCAGGCTTTTTTATGCAAAGTTTCTTCCAGCCTTTTATCAGCTTCCGGAGTTTTACAAGAGAGACCTTTTATTTAGACTCTGAAGTCAAACGCCCTGGTTTGGAATTCTGGCTAATACAACGCTTATTAGCTGTGTGATTTTTAGACAAGTGACATAACCTCCCTATTATCATTATTTTCCCTTTTTAAAAAACAGATAAACCCTTAAGGTTGTTTATGAGGATTAAATCAAGTAATACGTTGTGAAGCAGCCAGAAGGACTGACCGACCACATAGTAAGTGGTCAATAAACATTAGCTATTATTTTTTAAAATAAAATATTGCAGCATTAGGGTTTGAACACTAACTTTGACTCAAAATTAAAGCTATGATATCATTAGAATTTAAATATGCCTTAAGTGTTATAAAAAGTCTCAACATTTATTGTAAAGCGAATACACCAAAGTGAGTACTTAAAACAGAATTATTATTCACATTGTAGAAGTATGCTTCCACATTGTGTTCCTTTAAATAGTGAGCTCCTTCAATGGCCAGCCTCAAAAAGTGAGAAACTACTGTACCTGACTGAGTTAGAAAAATTAAACTAGCAGCTCAAGATTGATTCGAAATCAAGTATATGCTGAAATTTTTATGTAAGATAGAAAATTTAAATTATAAGACCTCGGTTTATACAACATGTTGGGGAAAGCGGGTGGCATGTTAGACTGAAGTTGTTCACATAGGTGAAAACTAAACGGGTAATTGAAAGTGAAAAAGTTCGATACTTCGGCTTTTTTAACAAGTTAATTTTGATTTAGTTATACTACATAGGTATAAAACAGATTTTCATGGCATTCAATTCTTATTAGAAGTAAAAATGTTTCATTATGTTCCATATTTAAAATAGAACTTAGGGCCATTTATTTCACTGTGACGTATATTGAGGATAATTCGAGTTGCATTGGTCAAGACTATGGTGCTGATAGATGGCTTCAAGAAAATTTTTAACTTGAGAGGGCTGCCCACGCTATGATGGCAGCCACTGTTACTGCTAGTGATCACTTCAAAAGCATGGAAACAGAAAACATGAACTAAAAGGTTAAAGTATGGAAAAATATGGTGAACAGTATTTAGCACTTGGGTATAGGACTGACATGAGTATATCATTTTTGTGGATTCTGCTAAGGTTAAGGGGTGCCTATTCTCTCTGACACGTGTTAGAGTGGAGAATTTCCTGATACAAGGTCAAGAAAGGAAGTAAAAGATTGAATTAGTAAGAGGGAATTCAGAATGGTATTTAAAACATTTTCCAAAAATTCTCCACAGTTGGAAGATTGTAGGAAGACAAATTGTGTGTTCTCCTTTCAATTAATGTAAGTGCCCTGTTATATTAGGAAAGAGCCAAGACCTTGATAAACCACAATATCATCCCCTACCTCCAACCTCTTTGGCTCTAGAATATATTTTGAGAGATGCTCAGTTACGCCTATTCACACACAGATAGCAGTTTTAGCACTAACTGTTATTCCATTTTGAACTCAATCATGATGAAAATAAATCCGTGCAAGAATTAACTGCCTGGTGAAATACTTTGTTGGACTAAAAGAAAGCTTTCTGATTTTATACTTTGTTCTCTTCCTACTTTCCACTCCACTACCCTTAAAGGGCTATTAATGTAAGTCTTTAATGTTTTAGTTTTTGTTGTTGTTAAAGCTTATTTAAAGGGTAGAATAAGTCAACTTCTAGAGCAAAAACTAGATCTTACCTGTTTCTATAGTTCTAGGACCTGGCATATATACTAGGTGCTTGGTAAATATTTGATGGTTGACTTACTTGGGAAATTGTTGTCTTTAATTATGGTAATGGAGTTTTAGTTATTCAAAAGCTCTAGGATGATTGGTGTAATTGGGCACAACTTAGGTATCTTGAGGTCTTCCATAAAATGAGAATAGTAGCTTATTGTCTGTATATTTTTCCCTTCTTCATTCACTGGGTTCCTTCCTACTGTTTGTTAGACAAAAGGAGTATAACGTTGAATAAGCTTTTGTTCAAAGATTTTACAGTTATTTTTATTTATTTATTTATTTTGAGGCAGAGTCTCACTCTGTTTCCCAGGCTAGAGTGCCATGGCGTCAGCTTACTCACAGCAATCTCAAACTCCTGGGCTCAACGGATCCTTCTGCCTCAGCCTCCCGAGTAACTGGGATTACAGGCATGCGCCACCATGCCTGGCTAATTTTTTTTCTATGTATTTTTCGTTGTCCAGTTAATTTCTTTCTATTTTTAGTAGAAACGGGGTCTCGCTCTTGCTCAGGCTGTTCTTGAACTGCTTAGCTCAAATGATCCACCCACTTCGGCCTCCCAGAGTGCTAGGATTACAGGCGTGAGCCACCTTGCAGAACAGAAAGATTTTACAATTAAATGGGAGAAGATAACAAGTGAATGATTACAGTACAGAGTTGCTGTGAGAAAATATTGGAGGGGGAGCTAACCCAGTCTTCAGGGGAGTTCAGGAAAGAAGAGTAGAAATTAGGCAATGAAGCTCAGACATATCATAAAAGGGCCATCAGCCATAATAAAGAGTTTATAGTGATCTGTAGGAGTGAATGATTACTAAGACAAGCTCCTTACAGTTTCAGATTTTCATCTTAGGTTTCTAGGTAGCTTTCTAGGTAGCTTTTTCTGTGCTGGATTTGCACAAAGGTAATATTTGCTTATGATAATAGTAGCTTTCCATATCATCTTTGATTTTTATCACAGAGTTTTGAAAAAATGCTCTTATCTGGCAACCACAGGAAGCTGGCAGTTGACCTTTGGGTTTAAAGAATAATTGTTTAATCATAATGATCCCAGTAATAGATAAATTAAATTTCTTTTACACTCCCTTTGTAAGAACTTGTGCTTATTTATGACATATCCTTGAATAAGGTCATTGTACTGGCTATCAAGTTAGAAGCCTCTTGAATTGAAATTGAGTATATTTCTGACTGGTAGACTTTGTGAATGAGCTTGTTGGGGCCAAGAGAAAACTTCCCCTTTGTCCTTTGAAGGTTCACTGAAAATCACTGACAAAAGACAGATTAATAGGAGAAAAGACATACAAATTTCTTTGATCACAGTTTTATGTGACATCAGAGTCTTCAGAATGAGGACCCAAAGATACAGGCAAAGTGTCCATTTTTATGCTTAGGTTCAACAAAGTAAGGACAGCCATGTATAAATATGATTGGACAAATGCGTATACTCTAATGCTAATAGACTGAGTGGGAAAACCCAGCAAGGCCTGTCTGGTTAGATACTTCTTGGTGTCTCTGTGCAGCATTCCTTCCTTCCAGGTTTAGGGCAATATCCCTCTTGTATGGGGGTTTAATGACCTACAATCAAACAATAATTCAGTTTATTTTTTATTGTTTACACAGAAAGGTGCCTGGAGGAAGTTAGAGTAATATTTTTAGGTTTTGTGGCTGGCTTTAGAGAAAAGGAGTTCTGGTTTCTATGAACCACTCGAGAAATAAGGGATTCTAGTTTCTATGGCTAGCTCAGAAGAGAATAAGAGACAAGAAACAGGAGGGCAGGAGAAGTTCAAAGACAGCTCCTTCTGAGGCCTTCATTTTGGGGTATCATTTTCTGAGACCCTACAATCTCATTCACTTTCCATATGTGGGTCGATAGGATCTATCCTTATGTATTTTGTATCACATACACAGATTCTAAATGCTATGTTATTGAATTTTGATGTATACTTACCTATGTTTCTACATAATATTAGTATTTATAAATTTTAATGGCTTATACATTTTACTTTTAAACAAGTGCTATTTAAATATTGAGAAACCTTGATTTATTTCTGTCATCTTTAGTTTTGAGATCAGTGGTTCTCAACCCTGGCTAGATAATAGAATCATCAGTGAGACTTTTTTAAAGGACCTAGATTTCTGGGGCCTACCCCAGAACAAACCCACTGAGTCAGATTATTTGGCAGTGGGCCTTGAAATCTAACATTTAAAAACAGCAACTACTACAAAATATAACAAAGGTGATTCTGATTAGTTGACAGGGGTAGCTGACAGTTGAAGCCTTATTCTCATAGAGGTTTGAGGCTTGAGATTTCATTTAGATCTTTATCTCTTTTTGGTAATTTGATGGTTCTGTAAGGGGCAACCTTTCTCCAAAACTCTTTTCTCCTTTAACCTTTTACTGAAAAGTGGAAGGAGTAGAGATAGAATAGGAAAAAGCAGGAATTGTGCTAGGAAATTTGTGCCCTGGTACCAAAAAAAAACAAAGTAAGAACAAATAATTCTTGGTTTGAAGCAAAAACACGTCAACGATATTATTAAGGACCTACTGAGTGCCAGGCAGTGTTCTAGGTGGTGGGGATATAGTGGTGAATAAAAAAAAAGTACCTCTACACTATATTAGTCAAGGATGAGGTGGTCAAAGAGCCAAATAGTACTCCAATAAATAAATTATCATGTAGTGATAAACACTACGAAGAAGATGAAAGAAAGATATAATAGTTACTTGCAAAAAAAAAAAATAAAAATAAAAATAGTTACTTGCAGAAAGCTATATTAAGGATAGGAAGTTTAAACCAAAATTGGCATTACAAATTGTTATTAGTCATGCTAAGATTTGACATCTAGCAGTTCAGGCAGAGAAATAGCAATTAGACTCAAAGTCTAATTGCAAAAAGTCTAAATAGCAAAAGACTCAAAGCCAGTGTCAAGCTTGGCTTTTCTGAGGGACAGAAGGAAAAGTAGTGGACTGGAATGCTGTAGATCAGGGGTCCTCAAACTTTTTAAACAGGGGCCAGTTCACTGTCCCTGAGATCATTGGAGGGCCGTTGGAGAGTGCGGTGCACATTCCAGACATGTGCACTGTGGACCCGAGATGAGTTGGCAGCTAAGCAGGACAGGCAGTGGCGGCAAAAACACTGGGCAGGCCTGATAAATGTCCTCGTAGGCCGTAGTTTGAGGATACCTGCCAGTGTAGACAGTGGGGAATGGTCATGTGAATAGGAATCTCTTTATTCCTAATAAGGATAATTCCAAGTGTTTTTACTTGAGAACCTGGGCTCAATTACTATTTTAATAGTAAACTGTTAAAATGAGGAAGACTGCGACAAATTGAGAGAAACCAGGAAAGGCAAGAGATGACAACTTAGGCTTGAAGCTTTAAGTATGCTCTAGAAGTTTGAAGCTCATTTGAGAGATGAGGATTGGAGGTAAATATTTGAGAGTAGCAGCGTATAGATAAGAGAGATACAACCACTCCCCTCTCCTCCTGTCTTCACGTTTTTTGTTTTAGTGAGTTTAATAACTCAAAATGTAGGGTTCTCATCTGTAGTTATATGCTCCTTACCTTGGGAGCTGTTAAAAAAAACTTATGCCCAGGTCCTATTCTGTTTAGTGATTCTGTTTAGTTAATTTGGAGTGGAGTCCAGATATAGGTATCTTTTATAGCTCCCTCAGTGGATTATGTTGTGAAGCCAGATTTGAGACCCATTGTTCTATTGCATCGAACTGTGGTATTTACTAATGCTAATCTTGATCTTTACAACAGAAAGACAAAATGGAAGGCCTGCCTGATGTTACTTCTTTTGCGACTAAACTTAAAAACACTCTCATACAGTACCATAACATTGAAGATGATAAGTGGCGAGTTGCTAAGAAAACAGTAAGTTCAATTATTTATTACTCATATTTGGAGTATATCTTCTGCCCAATGAATTGGTTGGTGACTTTCCAAATGATATAAAAAATATGGACAAAAGACCTTACTTTGGATGGATGTGCAAGTATATAATTGTGCTAATAGAGTTGGTGGTCTAATGTCATACAAAGGAAGGAACCTATCAGTAGTAATCCTGCACTCCTTTATTAGTTCTTTAGATATTAAGCATGAGAATAGACTCATAGCTACTAGAGCCTAAAGAATAGCCTCTTAAGACAACAAATAAAATGTGTCGTTATCAATTTAAGGAAGTATATAGTATTGCATAGTTTGGCATAGTTTCAGATATGTCAACAAGCCTGTGAGGGTGGCTAGTTAATATTCCTTTTTACCAATATGCTTGCTCAACATGGCTGAGTGTTGATAGAGCCAACCCTGGAACCCAGGACTCTTCTAGTTAAGTGCTCTAACTTCTGATACTCAGAAGTATTTGGAAAATGATCAGGAGAAAATAATAGGGACCAATTCAGGGCAACATTGTACATTATCATAATAAATGTGAATTGTGTAATTTTTAAAAAGGTATGAACAATTTCAGAATGAAATATTGGTATTCTTGATGTGTCGTCTGACTGTATCCGTAATGATAAAAATGAGATTGGAATAAGGCAAATGATAGTGTCCTCACTGAATCTTACAGTGTTTGGGTCTCATGAAATGCTGCTACAAATCTTTTTTGAAGGTCTGTAACTTAAGTACACTGTAAAGAACTTTAAGAAATAGAAGCAATTCAAATATGGATCATCTCATGGCATAGATGACTTTTAGGCATCTCAGAAAATGAACTTTTTTTCAATGCAAAGGCAAATGCTCTAGACTTGTAAAATTGTCAGTTTTGTGTCTAGGCTTCCACCTATGTAATTATTACCATATAATGTTTTTATTTTTCTAGAAAGATGTAACAGTTTGGAGAAAACCCTCAGAAGAATTTAATGGATATCTGTAAGTAAATTTTTATAGTTTTATGTAGCTTTTAAGACACTGCTAAATTTCATATATGTACACACATGTGTGTACATATATGTGTGTGTAGATATGTGCGTATACATGATCACTAAATGATTATTGCTTAGTAAGATTTGGCTTTTGCTTTTAAATTTTAAACTTTCTGAAAAGCAAATTGGCCTTGTAAATTCAGAGCCTTAAGAATGTCCATGTCCTTTGTGGACTGAGTTAGTGGCGAGGAGGTTATAAATAATGATATGATATCAAATGGCTGATAAAGTCTGAATTTCATAGTATGGTGTACATGGCCCTTCTAATATTCTACATTTACTCAGTGCTGTAGTATATTTTCTAAGAATTTATTTTGAAGAAATCATCAGAAAGGTAATAATGATTGAAGTACTTGCTTTTTCTATCACATTATTATTTATAATATTAAAAATTATACACAACCTGAATAATCAATAGCAGGAGAATGATTCAATTATGAAACATCTATAAATAGAATATTATGTAGCCTTTAAAAACCACATTTTTAAAGATGATTTAATAATGTAAGGAAGTGCTCATAATATAATGAAAAGTGAATGAAGCAGAATACTAAATTGTATGTAGCACAGTTGTGGGTTTACTTTAAATATGCATTTTTATTATTAAAATGTTCTTACTTAACATCAAATATTCACCACTACATAGTATTATCATGGATGATTTTTTTCATTCCTTTTTTGGTATTTACTTATAGTTAAACACGAATTATGCCTATAACCAGGAAAAATATATTGTCTTTTAAAGCCAGTGGAGATAATCACCTTGTTCAACTGGAATAGCATATTCTTCACATCTTAGGACTCAGCACTTTTTAAAAATGAAACTGTTGGACCCTCTTAGTATTACAGTGTTCTGAAGGGTAATGCCAAAGATAGGATTTACAGAAAGATGAATTGTACAATATTTCTGACAAGGACAGGGAAACTGGACTTAGATCAAGCATTATAAGCAGTATGGAAGTCCTTTTAAGAATCAGCAAATTCCCAGTGGGGGCTGAAAAGTACAAAAAGTGCCAAGGGAGCACTGTACTTGGAAATCTGAAAAAATTTCATAGAGGAGCTAATATTTGAGCTGCGACTTAAGGAAAGAATAGGTGTTTCTTATGAAATGAAGGGCTTCATGTTCTAGGCAGAGGGAATTGAATCTATGACATAAACGAAGATGAGAAACATTGGTGGCTGTTTTTAGATTATTAAAGAGTTATGTGATCAAAAGAGATAGGAACTGATGAAGTGTTTGGACACTGAGTGCCCAAACTAAGGCAGTATTAGCACAGGAGCTGCAAGGGCAAATGAACATAAAAGACTTAGTGGTGGTGGTGGCAATGATAACTAACATTTATTGAGAATCAGATACTGTTCTAAGGACTTACATTGGGAAATCATCTTGATAAAAACATTATGTCTGATTATTTTGAATGAGGTTAAAAGATAAAGAAGAGTCAAAGTTGAATCCCAGAATTTCTAATTTGTGTGACAGGATTAATTTGTGTTACCACCACCTGCATTCCACCCCCCCTCAAGTTAGAGAACACAAGAGGGAAGAGCAGATTTAGGATAGGGCAGATAATGTAAGTTTGGCTTAAGATATTAGGTGATTAAACAGCTTCAGATGCTTTAAAAAAAAAGGAGATACTGGTAAGAGCTAAAGCCGGTCTCCTATTTCATAGACTTACTTTCTTCCCCAGAGGTAACTACTATCCTGAAGTTGTGTATATTATTCCCATTTCATACCTTGACCATAGATTTATATATTTATAAACAATAAAATAATTATCTAATGTATTTTTTATATTTACGTGTATGTTTGAGTGTGTATTTCAATTTATAATTTGCCTTTAATTTTTTCAGCAAATATTTATCCATATTGTTACATGTAAATCTGTTCATTAACTTTCATATGGATATATGACAATGTTTATTTATGTGTACAAATTTGCCTATTGATAGATTTTTAGGCTGTTGTCAATTCTTCTCTAGAGAATACAGTTATGTAATAAATCTCTTGGTACATGTGTCCTTATACACATGTGATTTTCTTTGGGTCTTAGGGATGTATGTCATTCAACTTTACTAGACATTACCAACTTGCTCTCTAAAGTAACAGTTTGAATTCTCATCCCTCTCCATTCAATACTTGTTATTAAGTTTTTAATCTCTTACAATCCGAGGGACATAAATGAAATTGTATCTTTGTTAGTATTTACTTGATTAGTAGTGAAGTTGAGCATCTTTTGTATATTTATTGACATTTCAGGTCAATCTTACCATGTCCTTGGCCCATCTTTTCTTTGGATTGTCTTTTGCTCATTTGTTTATAGGAATTATGCATATATTCTCTATAATAATTCTGTATTTATTTGTGTTATACATATCTTTTCCTAGTATGTGGCTAGTTTAAAAATTTTTTTCATGTGTGGTATGCATGTTTTTAATTTTAATCAGTCTTTTGTATTATTTGTAGTTTTAATGTGTTTTATGTATTTAAGAAATCCCCGTTTTCTGAGGTCACAAAGATTTTTGTTTATTTTTCTCAAAGTTTTACGGTTTTACATTTTACACAGAGATATTTAATCTATCTGGAATTAATTGATTTGAATAGTGTGAAGTAGAGATCCAGGGTTCATTTTCTTGTAAGGTTAACTTTGAATCTAAGCATGATTTATGGAAGTGTACATGTTTTTCCTATACTGATATATAATGCCACTTTTGAAATATGTTGTTCCACTATATTCATGAGTCGGTTCCTTGGTGTTCTATTCCATTGGCCTATTCTTCTGTTCTAAATAAATAAGTTTTTAAAAGTCAGGGTAAAAATGTACATATATTGATATATTAAAAGATAACTGAGAAAAGAATAATATAAAAATAAATGGAACATTATGCCAAAACTATAGACTGTTTTTGGCTACCCTAAACATAAAGGGACTTTATTATCTTCATTATGATACAAAGCCTTCAGTTCTTTTATTAGATTTGAGAGTAAAGGGTACATTCGGATAAAATAATTGGTAGAACTTAGTTTATTAGAAAAGTTGTTGGGATTATTCCCTTTAAGAAAACCTTCATTAAGTTTTACTCCTACTTTCAAAGTTACCTGTGAACTATGAAGGCATGCTGGAAGTTTTCATTCTAATAGCATTTGACTTTAATTATTTTTCTTCAGCTACAAAGCTCAAGGTGTTTTAGATGACATTGTCAATAATATAATAGACCACATACGCCCAGGGCCTTGTCGTTTGGATTGGGACAGCTTAATGACTTCACTGGATGTTTTGGAGCACTTGGAAGAGGTATCTGTTTCAAAATATTACTTTAAACTATGTGTGTATGTGTGTGTGAGAGAGACAGAGAGAGAGAGAGAGCGCCCGCACAGTAAGCCAGAGTGTGTGAGCATGAGCATTTGTATACACTTATGTTCATTGTATTCATTGCTTTGAGAATAGCAGTCATGGCAAAAATGTCATGGGGGAATCCCGTGCTGCCTCTTAAAAAGCTTGCATTTCCTCACATTAACTGATGATTGTTAGAACTGAATTTGTTTTACACAGTAGCTCTACCTTTGATACTTGAGAAAATCTTCAGCATCTTTAATTGTAAAACTTTAGTTGAGGCTCTGAAATCTAAAATTTTGAAAACACCACCATCATATTGAAATTTCTAGGTTAGTGTGTGTAGTTTTTCCATTAATACTATGCCAAAATCAAAGACCAAAGATAAAAACACCACTTTAAGCATTATAGAATTATGTAGCCAAAATGGCTCACTCTCTATTCTTATTAATTTCTTAACGCTTAATTTTTTAATTCAAATATTTGATATTATAATCAAAGTACTTGAGGATTTGATCTTAAACATTCTAAAACAATCTATACCCACTAATTCCATGTGGAATATTATACAGAATAAAAGGTGATTATATTTCATTAGAATTTTGGATACTGGGTAATTTGTACCTCTGTATTTTGATTATATATCTCCCTTCAAGTTCATATAAGAGTGAGATTTAGAATAGAGATCTAGACCTGTCAGAATCACTGTGAGAATTATTGTAATAATTATAAAACATTTTAAATGAGTATTAGTTTTTTCCAGAGATTCATTTATGATATATGAATTTGTATATGTTTCCTATCATAGCATTTGTCTTACCTCTTTTTTATTTCAGAATTGCTGTGTGATGCGTTACACTACCGCTGGTCAGCTTTGGAATATAATTTCCCCAAGAGAGTTCGTTGATTTTTCCTATACTGTGGGCTATAAAGAAGGGCTCTTATCCTGTGGTAATAATCTTACATCCTTATACTTTCTTTCAGTTTGGTTTAAATATTTCAGTTTTCTAGGCTGGATGTTTCTTTCTATATGAGATGTATTTCTAACCCTCATAGTTGCTTTGTAATCACCAAGATTTTTTTTTGTTTGTTTTTGTTTTTTTGCAAATAGTAATCCCTGGGGAGTGAAATAACAATATCGGAAAGGGTTTTGAAGTCTTTCAGATAAGTTTTTGTTCCCAGTTACATAATATCCTATAGGTAACAGGTAGCAAATGTGGATCATGTAACTGCCTCTTATAAAGGGTTCTAACAAGTGGATTTTCTTCTAAGCTACTTTCAGAAAACAGCTTCTTGGTCGTATTATAGAAAAAATAGACTTGTTATGTTTTAGGGTATTTTTCCTTCCTTGAGCTGTGTTGTATTTTTCTTTGCAAGTAAAAATACTGCATGTCATTGGAAGACTCTTGTTTTCTAAAATATACCTATAGATAAATTAATATCTTTTTAGGTATAGTATATATTTGAGTTGGTAGTTGTACATAAACATCTACTTGTTTATTCTTGACTAGCCAATACAAAAGTTGAATATGGTTGAATATGGTTCACCTGTGGAGAACAGGTATGGTACCACAGATTTGATTATTGACTCCTTGAGGCCTGGCTGCTACAAACCAAGATTTGTAGCTCGTGAAGAGTTACCAAGATGACATCATGTCATCTATTCTGAAGGGCTTAGAACTTTCCCCATTGCCTATCTACCAACCCCCTGTCAGAATGCTCCTTGATAATTATCTTTTTCATGCTGCCATAGGCACTCTTGGGGCTTAATTTTCATCTCTGTGGATAAAAAGAAAAATATTTAAACAAGAACTCTGGTAATATTTTCCTAATGAGAATTTTAGACAAATGTCAGTTGTTGCTATTAATAGTATCATTTTTAAATTGTCTTGTAGGGATAAGTCTTGACTGGAGTGAAAAGAGACCAGAATTTGTTCGAGGATATAACCATCCTTGTGGTTGGTTTTGCGTTCCCCTCAAAGACAATCCAAACCAGAGTCTTTTGACCGGTTATATTCAGACAGATCTGCGTGGGATGATTCCTCAGTCTGCGGTAGATACAGCCATGGCAAGCACTTTAGCCAACTTCTATGTTGATTTACGAAAAGCTTTATGAAAGGTCTAATATGTTCAGACTTTTAGTACTGACCCCCCTGTATCAACTCTGTCTCTCCTCTGCATAGCCTGTAAAAATCATTGATTCTACTTTTCTGCATAGCCTGTAGAAAACTTTGACATGTTTTTGGTTTAGTAAACAATGTTTTATTTTATTCATATAATAAATGCCTATGTAAGAGGGCATTTCAGTTTTCTTAGACAGTAATTTGCACATTATTTGGTATGTCTGTGGCAGTGTGTCTAGGAATAGAGAATATGACAGAAATCCACAAAGAAGTAGATACAGTTCTTTGACCCAAACTCTTAAGAAATTCAGTAATGCCTCAATATGAATATTTTGGCTGCTTAAAAATTAGCAAAATCATAAGCTTCATGTTGTTAGATTAAAATCACCTATTTTAGAGGCTTATAAACATTTTACAAAATTTTAATTTTTTTGAAGTTAAATATTAGTGTTTTACTTTTGTTATCTTCTATGAGTTTGTCAGTATCTTGGACAAAAAAAAGTACTTCCTTCTCTATATTTTATAGAGATGAACTTCATTGTCAAATGACTTACACAGCTCTAAGTTTTGAAAGAAACAAAAATGAGAAAAAAATTAGATATCTACAGTTTTAGTAAGTTTATTGAAAAACTGAATCATAGTAACTACGGGTACAATTTAAATACAGTTTAGTTTTGATATCTAGATAGCATTCTTTTGTGTCTTTGAAAACACATTTGTACATTTATTTTGAGAGTCTAAAAACCTGTATGCATGAATATGATACAAAAAACCTCAAAATATTCACTGGGGACACCTATTTTTTGAGCAATAGTCTGGGTTGTGCGAAAAGACTGGTGGTATCCTGGAACCACCAATAGAGAGAGAGTCTTCTGTCTAGAAAGTTAAATTCGTTGAATGTTCTATATATATTTCAGTTTTAAAAGTATCACTCAACTCATAAAGTGTTATAAACTTCATAAACATTTGCATTTATGATATGACTTCAGTCTGGAACTAGAACGAATGCATTCTTAAATTTATCCAAATGCCTACATGTCCTTTCATAATGATTAGAATGACTATAGTAGGGCCCTTGATCCAGTGGCTGCCTTAAGTAAACATTTATAAATGATTTTAACATTCTAAATGACTCTGTCTTTTGAACTATCCATCTGTTAATAGTTCTAAAATGAGAACTTGAGGCAACTCAGTGTGTCTGGGCACATGTTTGTATATATTTATATGTTTGTGTACATGCACACATCTTGAAATCTATTTCAGCGTTCAATGTCAGTTCTTTTTTTGTTACTATTTCTACTGCTTTGGTTGTTTGTTTTTTTGTTTCTTTTTTTTTTTTTTTTTTTTTTGTGGTTAATATGGGGTAAAATGAGCCCTGGAAACATTTACGGGTTAGGCCACAAAATGCACAAAAGTATATAGTGGTTCAGTGCAAGAAAGTTTGATTTGTGTTTACTTTCCTGTGTTTTCCAAAGTGTAAAGAAAGAATAAATCATAGTTCTTCATACTCATTTTGATGGAGTGGGAAAGTGAAGGTGTTTTTTGTTTTTATGTTTTTACTACTGGAGATGATAGGTTTCAAAAAACAAAAGGTGGTAGCACCACAATGTTCATGATGAATAAATAATCTCATACTTTGTCTCAAAAAATTATTTGTCTTAAGATCTGAGAAAAGCAATATACAAAAGATTCTGTATTATTAATTAAAATTTATTAATTACCAATATATTTTTCCAAATTGACTATAACTTTTGAATAACTGGATATCTCTGCTACTTTTTTTCATCTGCAATAGGGAAAGAAAATGCAGCAGTTTAGTTTTCAATTTCCTATGGAAATTGTTAAATGTTAGTTTGGACTTCATCTATTTTCCTTCATTTGTTTTTATTAGTATAGATTAGAAGGTCCCATATTCCATTATTCTGTCAAGGATAGTGAAATTCCAAGGATGCTCAACTTGAGTAAGGGACTCGTGACAAGACTGTGTATATATTACTATAAGGGCTATTATTTCCTGAGCTGGGTGCCCCTAAGGCCAAATAAATTGTCACCTCTTGGTACTCTAGAATTCTCTTTGTCCTGATTGACATATACCTCCAATAAGTGATAATGTAATTTCACTATTGAATGTGGATCCATTGCAGGTAAAATGAGCCTCATGGAAAAATTTTTGTTGCAAAATTGAGTCACATGATGAATTAAACAATTATATTTGAATCACCTGAAATTTATGTGCAGTTTGTAGTTGGCACTTTAGATCTACTGGGCTCTAGCTGTGTACTTTTTTTAAAAAACAGCTTTATTGAGGTATAATTTACATAATATACAATTTTCCCATTTTAAGTATATAATTCAGTGATTTTTATATACATTTATAGAGTTGTGCAGCCATCACCACAATACAATTTTAGAATATTTCCATCACCCCAAAAGATCCTTTTGTCTTTTTACAGTATCGTGTCTATCCAAAGTTTATTGCAGTTGTCAGTATAAAGAAGATGAAAAAGATTACAGCAGGTTTTGTTTGGTTTTGTTTTTCAAAGTGGAGGTGTACATAATTCTAAGCTCAGGAATCTTATGATAATGTATTAAATATGTTATCTCAAATACCATATACAAAAATTTAACAATGTGGATTTGGATAGAAATTAAAGTATAATTGAGTCTGCTAATTGTATAGCAGTGTGATAGAATAGAAACATAATGTAAGCCATATATGTAATTTTAAATTTTCTAGAAGCCACATTAAAAATAATGCACAGCTGAAGTTAATTTAATAATATATTTAATTTAATAAATCCAAAAAGTTATCATTTCAACATGTAATCCATGTAAAAAAATTGAGATAGCTAATATTCTTCTTTTATACTATTTCTTTGAAATCCAGTGTATATCTTACTAATTTTCACTAGTCACATTTTAAATGCTCCTTAGTCACTTAAGACCAGTGACTACTGTATTGAATAGCACAATTGTATAGAATATATATTAATTTGTCTTGCTGTAAGATGAAACAGACAATTTCATGGAATTATCTTGACTAGAAATCTTTTCCAGTTTCTAGAGCTTTCAATAAGATGTCTGAACTTTAGAAATAAATCAGTTGATAGATGTCAATAAAATAAAAATTATTGCCAAAAAATATTTTCCTTCAAATATAATTAACTTTTGATAGGGCAGCTGTTGAAGTGAATATAATCTTCCCTGTTATGTGGTTGATTATTTCCTGTATTTTATAGGTAGTATGTATTAGAAACTTTTGTATTTAGGAAATATTTGGCATAGTACTGTTTTCAGTACATAGTAGCAATTTTTTAAGCAAATTAGTTTAGTATAAGAAAATATATTGTAAGTGATACTTTTGTGTGAAAGGTTAGTTTGTATTGATAATTCTTGATTAACTCTTAAAGTTTAAAACAATACTCAGCAAAAATGAGATATAGGGTTCTGTAGTTATCTGTGATATACATTGCTAGAGTATTAGAGTGATTGTAAAGGTTAAAAATGTCTTCATTACAGTGTTCATTAAGGTTGGATGTATTTAAAATTATAGATTTCTATGTGTAAAATATCTCTCAGTTAATATAATTTTTTCTTTCTCTCCCCCACCCTCTTTCTTTTCTAACTAAAGGACATTTTATCAACAATCAGATTGAATTCATTTAATATCTCAAGCTAATAAACTGTATAATTGAGGTTGCCTCTGAAGAAGATAGGTAAACATTGCATAATTTAAGCCCCTAATTATCTATTGAGCTTTTAGGTCTGAGTAATTCCCTTTGATATAGATGAAAGTTTTACCTCTTTACTCAAGAGCATACCAATATCCTTAGAGTCAGTGTTAAAATCCAGTTTCTTTTAAGTAAGTAGATACTGTGGCTATCTTAACCCTACAGATCAATTAACAGAACCAGAAAAGCTATGGGACTTGACCAGGTTTCCATTAGAACCTGTATTGTGTAATTGCTTGTCCAGTGTATCTTCCATGTCTTTCTTATTCAACTTCTAGAAGTTGGAGATGGTGGGACATAAACATAGAATAAACATTGGATTAATTCCGGAGCACAAGAAGTTGGAATTATGATTTTTTTCATTGTTGTATTGTTTCCAAAGATTTCACATGTATAAATATTAAAATTCATCTCTTGCAATTCAATAAAGGCTATACTATATAGAGATTTTATTTTTTAAGAAGTTTATAATTCTTTTTTGAACCAATATGTAAAAATAGAATATTTATTAAACTAATGAGTATGTATTAGTATAAATGTGTATTTTTAAATTGCTGTGAAATATATCAGAATAAAAATTTCTAGACACTCTTATAATTGATCATCAATATGTCTGTGTAAGTTATTTTAAACTTAAGTACTGACTAAATATTTGGTTTCACATGTTGGAATTTAAAGTATGTAATTTAACTTCCTGACATCTTACAAAAAAAAAAAAGAAAGAAAATAAAGTTAACAACGTATATGTTAATCTCCTGCCAGTGTCTTATATAATATTAGCTACTATACTGCTGAATGTTTGCTATTATATACCCAGAACAAATAATGAATGTATTTGGCCCTTGTAATAACATATGGGCAGGGTTTATTGTGTACACATTCAAATACTTATGTTAACTTGGGATATTAGGAATTATGATAGTTTCCTTTACAGTTGAAAAAAACTGTAAGTAATCACAAGGACACTCATGATCTATGTTACAAGAAAGCAGCTGGGGATGCTGTGGGTAGTATGTAATAGAAAATATAACCACAAAGTGGCTTAAACAAATAGGGAGTTATTTTCCTCATTTTATAAAAAAATATGGTGCTATGGTCTGAACGTTTGTGTTCCCCTAAAATGTATATGTTGAAATCCTAACCCCCAAGGTGATGGTGGAGACTTTGGGAGATGATTACTTCACCCTAATAAATGAGATTAGTGCCCTTATAAAAGAGGCCCAAGTGAGGACACAGCACCCACCAAGGCATCTTCTGTGAGGAAGCAGTCCTTCATCAGATACCAAATCTGCAGGTGCCTTGATCTTGGACTTCTAGAAATTTCAGAAATGTTGATAAGCCACCCAGTTTATGGCATTTTGTTATAGCAGCCTGAATGGTGGTGAGAGCACTGGATTGGGAGATGGGCAAGCTTGTTCTATTCCTTTTCTCAACTACCATGACCTTAGGTAAGCTACTACCTCTCTGGGTATAATAACTCCAATTAATAAAGTGAATTTGTTGGATTAAATAATTACTAATGCCCCTGCTTAATGATTTTGGGATTTTACTCTATAGAAGATAAATATTTGAGCACCCAGTGTTAATGCTGTGAAACTCAAAGTATAGTTTTATCTGAGGGAATAGGAAAACACTAAAAGAATGAATCAAGGACTGATTTCAGATATTAAAAAAAACATCCATTGTGTCTCTCTTAAATGGTCACATTTCAAATCACAGAATGCAACGTTTTGGTGGGTTCTTAGATGATTTATTATCATATTGTACATGCAAAATGCTTTACAAATTTCCCAGCAGCAAGGTATAGACTTCTTTTGGCATGTCCTGACACGTCTGAGTGAATTTACACTAAGTAACATCGGCCCTCACTAGGATTGATTTCTACATTTACTCTACCAACATCCATTTTTTGCTAATGCCACATATTCTTCAAGTTCCTGGGAAATACCAAGAAAAAAATAAACATGCTTAATCATTTAATTGTATTGTCCAACCTGAATCCAGGAAGAAACCACAGTGAGCTCTCATGTTGTCTGCCTTAGGCTTTGGGCAGCTAAGAGAGCCAGTGATTGTTGTGTTCCATCTGTAGGAAATGGGAACTCACTGGTTGGTCACCAGTATTGACCTGTAATCCCAGCCTGTCATCCCAGCATTTTGAAGAGGCTGCTGTGGGAGGCTCGCTTGAGGCCAGGAGTTCGAGACCAGCCTGGGCAACATAGCGAGACTCCATCGCTACAAAAATGGGCATGATTTTGATGAATTCTCTATACACATTTTCCGTATTTACATTTATGGTCTGGCCAGACTTAATATGTTTGCCTAAAAAATATTGTAATATATCTTTATATTAAGGAGTCAATAGCACCATTTTGACAGGTTTTAAAATAAAATGTTCACAGCTCCTTTTTCAGTGCCTTTCAATTAGAAGTTAGGAATGTAGCCTATAATCTTGGCTGTGTAAACTAAAATATTTATACTTTGTCCTCCAGATCCTACATGCTCTTGTTTTTGGCTAATGACTTGCAGTCTAAACCACTGGAGATGTAGGTTTCCTATAGGCAATGGTGTCCCATTAATCTAAATCTCCATGCTGCTATTGAGCCACTTATGTCTCGTAGTCCAGAAAGCTTTCCACAATCCAGGGATACACATTTCTCCTCTAAGAACAACAAGAAAAGACATCCCAGATAATGTCACATAGCCTGAAAAACCCTCATAGGAAGTTCCTTTCTCAGTGCCCACTAACCTATGTTTTCTGTACCCTCGCAGTATCTCTACTTCTTACCTTCTCTTCCATCATTGATGATAGTCTTTGTCCCTACCTTCCTTCATTTTATTTGTCCTGAGGAATAATACAGCCATTCACTGATCACAGACATTATCTAAAATAAGCAAAGTGCAAAGAGAATTAAAAGTATACATACTGTAATCTGATTCTAATTGGTAAATGTTTTGAAAAAGATAAGTTTCTTGAAGATGGATGTAATAATTCTGCCTGTGATGAGTGATATAAAAAGGAATTTACAGAAGGGTATGTAAAAGGACAAAAAGAATGGATGGAGAAGGAAGGACTTGACAGGGCCATCTTGAATTCTGATAATTTTAAATTTTGTTGTCTGAGACGTAGCTTTGTGCAGGTTGTCTTTTGAAATCTCAGCTTCCAGGCAGAATTCTATCACAAATCCTGTGGGGATTGCCTTTTCAGGTCAGATAACTTAAAGGGTTGAAATAACTATGACAGCAGTAACCTTGATTTGGGACTCCACTGGCAAAGCTTTAGCAAGCAGGTGATTTTCTGGAGTCACAGGGAGTTTTTCAGAAATAAGAGTTTTGTAAAACTTACTCAGATAATCGCTGTCATCATTTACTGTTTTGTCAGTGGAGACCTGGACAATGCAGTTTTTGCTTTCAGTGACTGGAGCTTTGCTTTAACTTGGTGAATTGCAAAATTGTCTTTGATGTGTTGGATGATTTTTGTTTTATTTAGAAACACACCAGGCTCGATATCGTAGCTCACACTGTAATCCTAGCACTTGGGGAGCCTGAGGAGGGAGGATCACTTGAGGCCAGGAGTTTGAGAACAGCCTGTGCAATATAAAGAGGCCTCCTCTCTACCAAAAATTAAAAAATTAACTGGGCATGTTGACACATGCCTATGGTCCCAGCTACTCAGGAGGCTAAGGCAGGAGAGTTGCTTGAGCCCAGAAGTTCGAGGTTGCAGTGAGCTATGATTGTGTCACTACACACCAACCTGGGCAACAGAGCAACACTCTGTCTCTTAAAAAGAAAAGAAAAGAAAAAAAAAAAACCCACCAGATTCACCAAGTATGTAGATCACAGGGCTAATAGAGCTAGGTGCTCTGAGAAAAGGCTGCACATGCATCTACCCAAAATAAGAAAGGAGCAAGGAGATCTGTCTAATTCAATTTTTTACAAGATCCAAGATTCTGCTGCATGCTTAGCAACACTTCCCTGTGCATTTCAGCCTTTCACACTTAGTATTGTTCCCTCACCTCTGCCTTGCATTTCTCCACTCTCTATTCTCAGGCCAGTTCTCAGCCAGATACACCTGCTACCCACTCCCTACCTGCAAAGATTCTCCCCATCCTTCACGTACAGCCTGTGTTTCCATGAAGCTTCATTGATCATTCCTGGCATAAGGAAGCTTTTCCCTCTTTCCATCCCTAGAGCTTATCATCTGCCTAGATTTAGCACAGGCTGTAATATGTACACTTGGCTTTTCTCTCCAACTACAAAGTTCACTGTTGGAGGATAGCACTGGGTTTAATTTATCTCTGATTCTTCCACTGAAGATAATAGTTTCTCAGTGAAAGCTGACTGGGAAAATGGGTTCCTGTTATGGGCTACTCCTGAGGAGCTTCAAAATTAGTAGGTCATTTCTGTTAAGTGTGCTTGGGGTATAGGCCTCATATCTCCTAAACTATGCTGTTTAGTTTCTGGGGGGGAAATTAGCTATTGACTTTGGTCTATTCATTTCTAAGGTATTTAAGTCCATCAACAACTGTCTTCATGCTGAGCAATCAAGATGATATGCAGGTGGGAATGTGGAATCCTAATCTATGTTTTGTCATCTTTTCCCTCTTCTATTCCAGTAAGGTGTTTCTCCTACATACAACCATGAGAAGCTGGCAGAGGATTCATATCTTTTGTTCCTGACTCCTATAGTTTATCCCAGTAGCTATATCATATTATTGATTGCTGCAACAGTTTAAAGAAAACAGCATATTAAAGTCATGATACAATTTTAGGTATTCCTAATGATAAGCTTATAATGGGTTTCTACACAATATCTCATTTGCAACCATTGTACTACAGATGTTGAATGTCAAACTGAAACACAAAGGTCATGAATTGCCTATGTTTCTCTCAAGATCTGGGTCACCTGCTTCCCTTAAGGCAGATATTTTGGAATGAACAATTTCTCTGTGACAAAAATAGACTAAGAGAAGAGCCCTTCTTGGATTTCTAAATATATAAGAAAAGTAAAGGAAAGCATTTACTCCAGACTCTCTCTTTTCAAAGAAATGAATTACTTAACACTCAGAAAAGCATGAGATTGGAAAGTAGCTTTCTTACGTAAGAGAGTTGGCTGTTTGCATGTCCCTGAGCTATTGATGAGAAAGTCATTGTCATAAAATGCCACATAATAAAGTACATTATATGTTAAAAATGAGTAATGAAAATCTAATTGATATAAATTACTTCAGAACATTGTGAGAGATTCAGAATCAAAGGGTTCCCATTTCTTATCTTAGTAAGAAACAGCTGCAGATTGACTTAAATGTAAGCAAATGCCAGTGAAAATGTCATTTACATGATTTTAAATACAAGGATCAGATTTCTAAAACATGCTCAAAGTGCTAGAAATCTTTTAAATTCCACTCTCAACCAACTCAATTCATACTCTAAATTTCTTTTTTAAAAAATGATGCAATTTTGAATTTTTAGTTTTGCAGGGAAATTTCACTAAGTTGTATCTCCAGCACAATTATTGTTGTGAGACCATCTGCAATATAAAACAAAATTTTCCTAACTTCCTAAGAAGTAAATTGGAATAAGAACCTTAAACTAAGGAGAAGAAAGCTGGAGTATGGTATTCTGTACTCCTAGAGGTCATTAAAAATGCATGGGTGCCAAGAAAACTCAGGGTCATTTTTTTTTTTTTCTATAAAGGGCCAGATAAACAACATTTTGGGCTTTGCAGGCCGTATGGTCGCTGTTGAAAGTACTTAACTCTCTCTGGGTAGCATGAAAGCAGCCATAAACAATACATAAATTAAGTGAGCATGGCTGTGTTCCAATAGCAATGGGGCTTTGGTAGTTTGCTCTGTGAACCATAGTTTTTCTGACTCCTCAAAACTGTTCTTTGGAGATTTAAATTTAGTTCCTTGAGGAATTACTTTTTTTAAAAAAATGCACACTTAAGTTTTATATGTATATCTCAAGACCAGAAATAAAAGAATGATGGCATTCAAATAAGTAAGAGTATAAATACTAGCTTTTAACTTGTTTATTAATAATCCCTTTTGCCTATATCCTTATTTCATTGGTCATAAGGAATTAATTACACCCCTAAGTCAGCTGTTCCCACTCACTGAACTCATAAAACATTTTAAAATTTTGAAGGAAACATAGCAACTTCTGTCAGACATGAAACGAAGGACTACTATTATGTTGTTTGGACTTAATTACTTAATAAATGGATATGTTAGGACATCTTTTGGCTTATAGATGACCATTAAAATACTACTAACAGTGGCATGAACAGAAAAATAAAATCATAAATTATGAACATGCTATTTGTACTCTATGCTATTGTATATTAACTGTATTGTAGGCATATAAAATAGGTCAGGTTAAAAGGAAATGGTATGAAATGATAGTTTTCAATTTATAGTCATACTTAATTGTATCCTTTACAAAACAGATTAACTACTATTCATCTGTCAAGGAAAGGACAAAAAAAGGACAAACCCAGCAAACTTTTATCATTCACAAACTGATTATCATTCACAGAGTTGGGAGAGAGCTTAGGGAAAACAACAGTCTGCAAACATTCTAATGTAAAGTCTATTGTATTTAAGTAGCCCGAAATAATCTTTTAAATGGAAAATAAAGATTATTATTTAATCTTATTGAAAATCAAATGTCGTTTTTGACACGATGAATCACAGCAAAAATTAAATGGATATAACTATTTCTTATCTATGGGTTTTCCAGGTCAATCTTCAAAGTGAGCTGAAAACAACTATTTAAAAGAACAGTGTGATTTTTACAGTCCTGGCATTGCTATTTAGAGTTTCCAACTAAATTCTGGGCCACCAAAGACCCTGCGTTTCTTCAGTCTGGGATGTTCCTCCTGCTGGGGTGTTAGAGGGTCTCATAGTCCTAGAGGGTGAGCCCGATGGGCGTACGGCTGAAACAAAACATCGATCTAGGACAGGCAAACCAAGACTGGGAAAGAGCTAATGATTGATGGAATCTCATTTTTCCATTACTGACCAATTACAATATGTACCAACATGCAAGCACTATCACTTTCAATCGGAGCATGGGAAGAGGTTTCCTCCCACTTGGCTCATTGGAGCTCAACCAGGTCGGATGCCTGGAATCTTCTCTAGAGCAGTGTCTGATTCCTGCGAAGGAGTCAGGTGGTTCACTTTCATGGCAAGGCTTCTATCTTGTCCTCAGTGGAACTCTGAACCAGATGGCAGGGAACAGACTAAGTCTTGAAGGAAGTTAAAATTACACAATCAAATCATCCGAGTGCATCACAGAGCATTTATGAAAATTGGAATTTTAAACAAACATAATTTAATTAAGTTTGGTATTGCTCTCCAAGATAAGTAGAGAAATAGTTGGGCTTTATGAGCTGAAGTTATACTATGTGATCTCAGGTAATATCCACAAGGAGTGGTAATGTCAAAAACTAGCCATTAGTAGGTCAAAATATAAAAAGAGGAAATGCTGAACTTCATTAGCATGAGTGGGTAGCTGATATCACTCCAGCAGTCTCTCTCTCTCTCTTACTCTTTTTTTTTCTTCTCTATGTGTCAAGGAGACAGAAACTCACCCTGAGTGTGTCAGGGGAATAAAAGGACTTTGAGAAAAAATTTTTATAGAAAATCATTGGGTACATTTCTGCTTATCATGTAGTTATGAATATTCTAATATCGATATTGAAATTACATGTGCATAAACATTTAAAAAAACACTCCAGACACAGAGTCTAACAAGCAGTTTTAAACATTAGCAATGACCCTGATCAGGGACACATCATTGATAAACATTCAGGAAACTGGAATATGGCCTAATAGGCAGTAATTACAATATTACAAATCCTTTTATGTAGGTAAATGTCTGGAAACTTTGCGCCATCTAAAGTAGACCTAGATAACCAGACTGAATATTCTGCAATGACAAATAAATTACATAATGGCATTGTAATTATATAATTGACTCTGCTCTATATATTTGTCAATTATATGTTGAGTCAACCTTCATCAAGAAAATTCTAGTGGTGATTCACTTTGCTGACCTTTTTTTTTTTTTAATTTGCTTTGCAACAACAACCGTAAAACAGAATAAATGGTTTACTAACTTTATCCTTTGCCTTTTCTGGCATTTACTTTTCTTTTTCCAATTTGAAATGCAACCAGCTGCTTCTGTGCAATAAAAACTGAATTATGAAACAAAAGGGCTCTTTCCCTGTCTTCAGCCTCTAGGCACTCCACCCTTCCATGTGCAACTGGGCATAGGGATCACTAAACATTCTAAATTACAAAAACGTTTAAAATACTAGATAACTGAGGTCATAATAAGAGGCAAACTGTTCCTTTCTTTTTAAGTCTGCCACTAAAAATGACAATAGAACCTTGAGGATTATTCTAAAATCAGTATGTAAAAAATTTCTGAAAGTCTTTTTATGAATCCATGTGTAATGGCAGTGTTGATTAAATCCTTCTAAGGAAATCTGAAAGAAGACCAGGCCATGATCATATTCCCATCTTGGGGAAAACTGGCATGACATCACCATCATCATATAATCTTCATCATGCAAATTTGGTATGGTCCAGTAGATTTCTAGAAAGACATATTTCCTGTGACACAGGGATGATGTCCATCTTCGTCCAGGCCTACAAAACAGGATGCTATATGCAGTCCTTTCTGAATGGAGACACTATGTGGCTGACAGTAGATTTTGGTAAGCAAGAATACTACTGGCTTCATGGCAGTACTTACGAGACTATAGGCTGCAGTCAAGATTCCAGGGCCCAAAGAGGAATCAGAGGGACTGAGGTCCCTAGATAACTTAGCAATGCCCAGGAAAGTATTGTTCTTTTAAGTCATGCTGGGAATCACTTCTCTTCTGAACAGTCAGGAGTGGCCAATAGCTTTTTATTTAGTCTGTAACATTTCTGAAACATTTTCTTTTTGGCCTCCCATCGACTCATCAATGTGAAAACTGAGGCAGCTCAAATCTAAACACAGAAATTCAAATGTCACTTTGCTTCACATCAGAAGTATTCTAGACCGTACTGTCTAATATGGTGGCCACTAGCTGCATGGGGCTACTGAGCACTTGATGTACCAAAGGTGTAACATGCACTCCTGATTATGAAAACTTTGTATAAAAACAGAGAATTCAAAATATTTTGTTAATTTTTAATAATGGCTACATATTGAAATAATAATTTGGATGTATTGTATTAAAATACTATAATTAATTTTATTTTTTTATTCTTTAAAATGTAGCTAATAGAAAATTTAAAATTACATATGTGGTTTGCATTATATTTATATTACACAGCACTTGTTCTGGACAATAACTTTTACAACCGTATTATTCTAGTTTTTACCCTATTTATGTGTCCCTGGGACAAATGAGCTCTGAAAGTTTGAGAAAAATGACCAGGACTTCAATTAGACTTTTTAATGGGGAAAATAATTCAAGATTGTCCTTCATAGTAAAAAAAAAATCTAGTTTATGCTGTATATCTGAACTTACCTCAAAATAAGAACCAATAATGTAATGTGATAATTGTCAGATCTAAAATACAAAATGTAATTTACTGTTTTTGCTGAAATTTCTTTTATTCCTTTGCATTGTGACTATATTGTCAATTAGGAGTAATGCTATCAAATATTTTCTCAGATTGTCTCTATTTGTCTACCATTATTATGAGATTAGACAATATATCCCATTTTAACAAGCAATATAAATAAACATTAGCTGTTCTTTCAAAAATGTTAACAGAATTATCCTAACTTAGGATGTATTCATATGAAATCTTTGAATACTTTGAAATGACCAATTTTTGTGAAAGTCAGATTTATTTCCCACTGAAACTACTAAATTAGTCAGTAGGTAGGCATTATCAGGACTTAATCTTTAACATAGGAGTCAAAATTTTAAAACCTCATTTTTTTTTAGAAAATACAGTTTATAGGTTAAAAATAGATAGAGGAAATTGCCAAGACACTCTTGAGTACTCACCAAAGAACAGCCATGTACACTTATTGAAATGGGTAAATTCTAAAACACACTTGGGCGTGCCATTTGCAGTGCTGTTTCTCTACTGCACGGGGCCAATGAATGTGGTCCACCCTGGTGTTGGAATGACAGAACAACTGCCTTTGGAACATTGTGGGTGTAGGCAGGGAGGGATGCTGAGTTCTGCTCTTCCAACTAATTGCCACAAGACCCCTTTCTTCTCTCTTCTTTCCCTCTTCTGATATATGGGAAATTTATCACATATATCTGTTAAGTCTCATGGGGAAAAGTCCACCAAGATATTAATCTTTTTAAATGGAAATCTTAATATTAATACTTAATCAAGAAGGCATTATTAAAGGTTAAAAATAGTGAGCCCTTTAAAACCGCCAAAATTTTGAGAGGGAATAATTAAAGGAGGAAGGAAAGAGGGGAAAAGAGGGTTTAAGTGCTCTTTACTAGATAGTAAAAATAAAATTATACAAAAAAATAATCTGAGCCCAGATGATGTGCCCCTCAGGGCCTCCATGTCAGTGTGACCTGTCAGATCCCTACACCATGGAAGATAAGAAATTCTATGTTGTTTTCTTCTCGTGAGAATAGTAGTAAAGGGAGATTTATTTGTGCTTGGAAAGCAGAATGTCTGCTGAGGTCTAACAGCCTCTAGAAATCAGAGATTTAATTTCGTTTTCTAATTTAATAGTTTTGAGGAAGAACCAAAAGAATTTAAGATCTCTTTTTCTGTGATGAAGATTTTTATGTGATGGTCATATTTATCATCTTTATTTTGGTCTTTGAAAATATTTTTTAAAATTAAGAAAACCCACTAAAAATAATGCATAATTAATTTGATAAAATGTTCATTTCAACTCAACCTAAAAATAAATTTGAGATACTTGGACTTAGTGCAATTTCTATATGGGAAAAGCATTCCTATGAAAGTCAAAGAAAAACTATATATATTCTGAGAAAAAATCATAATAAATATTAGGTCTAATGTTCTAGCTTCTCAAGAGACTGATTTGAAGTCAGTGTTTTTTTCTTTATTTTTGTTTGCTTGCTTTTTAAAGTAAATAAAACGTTTCATTGTACTAAACTTATTGACATGGACATTTCCAAAACTATATGTAAAATGAGCACCTCCATTCCAAATATGAGAAAAAGATATACTAGCTTTTCATAAATATCTTTAGTTCATAAGCAGTATATCTAGATAGCCATCAATTGGAGAGAAAAGGGTTTTTTTACAGACAATAATGTTTCCTTATTCTAGTAAAGTGGATAATGAATGATCTTATAATGGAATATTATTCCTACTCTATTCAGACATTTTGGCACCAACCTGCAGGATAGATTTTTCTGAATATTTGAAAATTGGTAATTGTAGAGATTATCCATTAAAATGTTCCTATTTGTCAGGTTGTACAAATTTACAAATACATACAATTTTATTTGGAAAATGAAAAGTAATCTTATCTTCATCAGTCTAAATACCAATCTTGCCTCCTTTTCCTCCTTAAGTTTCTTTATTCTCTCTGAAGTTTTATCCATCAGAAGGACATCTTATTGGAGAGCAGGTGAAGGAAAGAATGAAACTAGGCATATGTTTCACTTAGCAGGTGAAACCCAGCATGAGTTTGTGAGTTTGCAAAACACTTTCTCCAGGATTATAAAATGGCAGAATTTTGTGATAGAACATGTTGATTATTATTAATATAGTATATATAAATAAGAAAGAATAAAATAAAAAGGCATTCTCCATACAAGATTTAGGGGTATATGGTTTCATGGCCCTTAAAAGTGTGCTTCATTTTCTTACCACTGTAAGTGGAATTTTGTTTTTTTTTGCACATACTGTACAACTATCACCTATGATCATCTCCTCATAAACAGTTTGAACACATTAATGATAAAAAAGTAAAACGTGAAAGTCATGGGACCATGTCTTATAGCACTATTTAGTATTAGCTAAGCGGTAGTTCAAAGGAATTACTGCCTTGTGAAGAAATCTAAAGGACGGATGGTGGCTAGGTTTTCAAAGCAAAAATAATTTGCTACCATTCACTTCAAATGTGTGCCACTGGTCGCTGAAAATATATGTTTTTAAGTGTAAAGTTGTGATTACTTGCAATTTCAAATTTAACTCATTGGTATTAGGTATCCATTACATGCCATAGAAGACACTATTATTTTCATAAAGCAGTCACATGCATTGAAGTTAGGATTACCAACTGGTATGTATGTATTTTTTTTTTGCACCTCAAAAACAGAATCACTACAGTGCTTATCATGCTTCCACACCTTCCTTGCTGAAGGACAAAGTACATAAAATGCTGGGCTTTGGCTTCCATATCTGAAGGAAGCCGACTTAGTACTCTGGCAGGATCACATCTTGCTGTGGAATTCCAAATCCCACAGTAGGGATTTCTTGCCCTTCTTTGGGGGCTGCTGCTTCTTCCAAAGTCTTCTGATTCTCCTCTACGAGGCCCTCCTTTACTTCCGGGCCGGCCACCTTTATCCCAGCCTCCCATGCCTCGGGCGCCATCTTGGGGGCCTCCTCAGCATTTATATCTGCACCTTGAACTTCCTCAGAGGTCTGCACCTTCATCAGCTCAGCCTCTGCCTCCCCAACTGCTGCTTGGGCCCCGTCTCCTTGAATCTTCTCTCCTTCCGGGACAGCTTTGATGTCCTTGTCCTCGTGCTGGTTTGGAGATGGGTCTTGGCTACCCTTGTGGCTCTCCTGGATGCTGCTGTGGCTGCTGCTGGCACTTCCCAACCGGGAAGAGGCCACCACGGCCTTCACCGCTGCCTGGTAGGAAATGGGAAAGTGTCAGTCCGCGTTACCTCCGCTTAAAGCCCCAAATTAGAGCTTAGCGCCAACGTCACTTTTAGGGAGTCTGATTTAGAGGTTAGTGTTCAATCTTCCAAAGTATATTATTGCTAGATTGTTTGCTGAATGAAAACTTGTTTGGAGAACAAATAGCGAAACCTTTTAAATCTCAAATTAGTGTATTTAATTATCTGGACAATTGAAAGCCTAATAAGTATGTTTACCCGGGGATAACCAGTTTTCAAAAATTTCAGACTGTGTTTCCCAAAGTATTTGTTTCATGGAACACTAGCTCCATGGATGTTAGCAGTCATTATGAGGATTAAAGAGTTCTATGGTCAAATTAGCTTGAGAAATCCTAGGTTAAGTCAACATTATTTAATCCAGGGTATTTCAAATTAATTTGACCATGGAACCCTTCAGATCTATTCAATCTGGATCAGCCTATGAACGATTGCTGACTAAGAGTCGATTTTTAAACCACTCACAGTTGCTTTCTGAGATTGCCTGCTTATACAGTTATTCCTAAGCACCATTTTGTAATAGAAAAGCACCTAATTTCTATGCCATATGTATTATAAAATAGTAGATATATTTTGGTGAATAATTTTCTATATCATTTAAATCATCTTAATTTTTGTCAAGTATAGTAATCATCTATATTACCAAATATAATTTCAAAAGTTATTTCCCAATTTTCACATATTCAAGAAAACTTTCTGGATAAACATCGGTTTCTTGAAAAATGCTATTCAAGCAATTCACTTTAATTAGAAGCAGCATTAATATATTTGGTGAGTTGATCTCAACATATAACACATTCCTCTTTATTAGTAATGAATTTCTTATGGGAGGCTAACATAACTGTAAGGGGCTTTGTGTCAGTATTTTTGAGATTGCAAAGCAGGATTTTCCCTGGGGCCATAGGAGATGAATAATAGTATTAGAGGAAGAATGGTAGAGCTATCATTGAGAGCTCAAGATAAGAGAGAAGTCTCTGGGTTTTTTTCCTTAAAAAACAAAATAAAAATATGTTATCTTACCTTAAGCTTGCGCCGAGCATTGAACTCTTGAAGCTTCTTTTGAGCGGTATCCATGTGTACAAAATTGGCTGCTTTACCTGTGACCCACGGGTGCTGAAGAGCTTGAAAGGTAGTCAGCCTTTTCTTAGGATCCAAAACAATTAATTTTCTGACCTGAAATGATAAAGAACCATAGACTTAGGGAGATTTTTATGGTGACCTGGGCTTGACCTCAGCTTGTGAAGTTCTAGGTCTTGTTTTGTTTCTCTAGCAGTAATTATACATTCAATAACAGTAAATATTCATTAAAAAATTGTTTAAGCCCTCAGAGATCACTGTAGGTAGGAACAGCTTCAGGCAACAGTAGCTGAGGGAGTCTAAGAAGACAGTCGTGTGTACCACCTGAGACCCCAAACTGGCAGACTGCTTTCCAACAGAAGTCAAAGAATCAAGGCCTTGCTCGCCTGTGGACTAGACGTACTTTGAAAGCAGAAACACCATCTGATCATTCTAGGCTGCACTTCACAATCACCTAGAATTCAGAACTTAAAATACATCTCCATGGTAATGGAATTATTCATGCACCATCATTCTTTCTGTGGGATTAAACGGCAAGCAAAAGGGATAGTATCTCCAGTCCCTATGGAATACTATCTTATTCTACCTTGAGGTTACTAGATCTTTCTCTCTAATTCCTTAAGAGTACTTGAAGGAATAAGCTCAGAGCTTAACAGCCATTTCAGAATCAAAGTAAAGAAGTCAGTGGCTTAAAGGACTGAAATCAACCAACTGGCAGCCTGTTCTGGAAGGTTTACTCCTGCTTGTGAGGATGAGCAGACAATAAATTGCCAGGAAAGTCAACAAATGAAGTAATTCATGGCTCTGGGCTCAGTAGGGGTGACCTGGCATAAGGTACAGACTATTTGGAACCAGCAGTTGTGTACAAGCCCTGGTTATGCCTCAGCCTACTTAAGTGACCCTAGACACAGACACACATATGAAATGAGTGCCTATGAACACTCCCCAGACCCTTTTCCTACAAGATCTCATTTCTACCTTAATTCCTTTGTAAATGCATTTTTAGATGCATATAAAAGTTCATAAAAATATATGTAATCCTTTTAATAATCTTATCATTTGGAACTATTAGCACCAATTCACAAATGAGGGATGGAAGGAAGTTCAAAAAGACTTAGTGATTTGCCTAAGGTCAGGCAATTTGTAATTGGTGGAGCCTGTATTCAAACTCAGCTCTGTGTTACATCAGAGTTCATCTTGTGGCCACTATACTGTGATGCCTGCAGGACAGTCAATCTTTCTGGACTTCGGCTTGCTCCTGTGTAAAATGAGTGGCTTTGGATGACTTTAGGTCTAAGGTCTTGTCTAACTCTAAGAAGAAGTGAACACAGGCTAACGAAATCAGGCAGCAAGTCAAAATGAGGAATCGATATTATCTGATTCTCTTTTCATGTCCTTTCTGTAGCATTTGCAAAGGAATGTGCATTTGGGCTAAAGATGCTGGATTTGTAGAGGGAAGCGTTAGTTGATGCTAGTTAAACATGCATTGAGTTTCTTAATTCTCACAGCAGCCTAGAGATAGGTACCATTATCCTCCTAGACAAGAAAACAAAGCATAGAGAGGTTAGCTAATAAGCCCAAGATCACACTTCTAGGTCATGACAAAGGGGGCACTTGAATCCAGGTGTGTCAGACTCTAAAATTCCTTGGTTTATTTCGGATTCATTGTTTCATTCAATGAACATTTATTGAGCCTGCACTATATGCCTATCTACTAATAGTACTAAGATCTGGGCATACATGCATGGTCCTCTCCCAGAGCTTGTAATCTAATTAAAGAAGACCATTGAACATGCAACTATAAGTGATGACTACTATGAAAGGGGGAGCACAAGGGGCAAAGGAATAATGTGGCTAAAGGAACCAACCGTGGGAGGGAGGGAGTGGAGAGGAGGTGGCCTTGCCTCCTGGAGATGTCTAGTTGCCACTAGACATCCTCCAGCTAGGGCTGGAGGATAAGAGTCACCCAGGCAAGGAAGGGTGTGTGTGTGTGTGTGTGTGTGTGTGTGTGTGTGTGTGTATGTGATGGGGAGGAAGAAGATGGGGAGGAAGGGGGAGAGAAATTACAAAGCAGAAGAAAGAGCAATAGCCAATATCATGAGCCACAATGCTGGGGAAGTGGAAGTCTGATGCACTCAAGGGAAGAGCAGCAAAAAACAGGGCTATGAAGCTAGTGAAGGCAAGGGAGAGTGGCAGGCTCCAGAGCAGGCAGTGCCATGTAGATCTTGTTATGGGTTTTGGGTTGTATCCTAAGAGCCTGAAAGCAGGGCAGTGACATGATGTGATTTATTTATAAGACCATCCCTCTGGAGCCTGGTGGAGCCGTATTTAAGAAGGGCATGGGAAGAGGCAGGGAGATTAGATAAGAGGTTGTAGCAGTGGTCCAGCTGGCTTGGACCGGGACAGAGGTGGTGGAGGTGGAGAGAGAGGATAGATCCAAGAGATGTTTCAGAGCATGATGGTCTGCCTTAAGGGAGGAGCTCAGATGACACATCTACATGTTGCACACACACTGTCCCTCTCTTCTGCAGTCACTCTGGAAAAGCCATGGGCCCTCGGGGATCAGTTCCATGAGAAAATACAGAAAGCAAGCAAGAAATGCTCGAAGGCAAAAAGAGCACTGGACAGTGTCTGGAAACCTGAACTAGTCCTAGTATTCTTTCTGCCTGGAAGTTGTGTGACCTTTGGAAGTCATTTCCCCTTCTAGTCTTTATCACACTCATCTTTAAAATGAGGGGAGGACTAGATGACTCCTAAGATCCCTTGGAGATCTAACCTTCTGTGATCCAAAAGTCAGTTCTGGATTATTTCTATGTGGATTTTCTCTAGAGAACTGATGGTAAATGTTTCAGTCCCATGTTAGCATCCTCTTTATTTTAGAAGAGGCGAACCACTTCTCCAGCCACTGTGTGTTTCTTGAATGCAAATAAACTCCAATATTAGCAATATCGCTAATATTAAGATGCAATGTCAAACAAACAAACAAAATGCACTGTTAACACAGTGGAACTTTTTTATAATGTCAATGATACCTAATGACATTTGTATTGCTATGAGGATATTTTCATAAGTTTGAATGGAAATTTCAGGAAGCAATATTGCTTTATTTGAAATATATCTAAATCCAGGCAATAGAAAGTCATGTTAAAACAGAAGTCTTCTGCTTAAATTATGTTTGGATTCACATAGCACAGCTTTCTTCATAAGCAAGGCTCTATACTAATGATGTAGTAAAAGCTCATTAGCACCATAGTAATTGCAATTTGTGATAATTCAGCCAGTGATGAGAAAACATATTAATGTGCATTATTTTATTGAAAGTACTTTAAAATTACAGAGAAAAATGATATCAATAGAGGCAAATTTTTAAAAATAACATTGCTTATGAATTAGTTAAAAATGAATTTATTTTATTTTGTTTCATTTTGCTTTAGTCACACTTACCAAGTCCTTGGCATTTAGAGATACTTCATCCCACCAGGGGGAGATAAAGTAATATTCACAATTCAGAATTCTCCTGAACATGAACTGATCGCCTCTTTCATCATAGAATGGTTCAAATCCACAAAGTCTAGAGGGAAAAAATACAGAGAATAAAATGTCTTTAAAAGCCTAAGTCTATTTCATCAGATTTCTGCAGAAATTCAACACTATCCTTTTTCACAGCTTCCTGTTATGGAAGCAAGTCTACTCAGCACAACAAGTATGTAATTGCCTTGTTACAATTCACTATGGATAATGTAAACACACAATTATGTCTTCAGGAAGTAGGACTCATATAAAAACAACTTAGGAGTCCTACGAAAAGCTATAATATTACAATTATGGCACATAGAAATAAGAATAACAATAGCTAACATTATTATAGGCATTATGCTAAGGATTTTCCACAGATTTTTTTCATAGGACTTGAGAAGACAGACAGAAAGATTGATTTGAGTTCCATTTTAGTATGAAATGGAAGAGTTACGATTTTGAGAGTAAAGAGATTAAAAAATAGAAAGAAAGGATTTTTCACTCATTTTTGTTCTGCCCTATTTGATGACTTCCTCCATAGAAATGAGTAAAGTATTGTATTTCCATTCCATTCCAGTTTGGATTTCAGAGTAAACAAAGGTCAGAGTTAAAACAGGGAAAAGCCTTTAAAAAAATCTATTAATACAAGTGACTAGATACAGCCAAGAGGGTTGAGCAGCCTAGATTTACATACATTCTTGTATGTTACCCTCCCTCACTTTTGCATATCTTAAAGATGTTCTACTCTGTTCACTTTCATTTTCCACTACAGGGTCAGCTTAAAATGAATGGAAAAAGTGGGGGGCAAGGAACAGGGAACCATCTCGGCATCCTAAAGAGAAAGAGAGGAAAAGCGAGTTGTTTGCCTGGGACCACCAGGTAAGTCTCCACTGTTTATAAATGGGCAGAAGTGCTGAAATCACTAGGGATCAAAAGGGAACAAAGCCAGGGCAAGTGTCACAGGTGTTGCATTTGAAAAGAATGGGGAGGGGGTGCAGCTGGAATGAGTAAGTTCTTTCTTCAAGCCAGTCAGGTTGGTGCAGAGCATGAAAAATTCAAATGCATCCTAATATGATGAGTTTTTAGGAAGAAGTCATTTCTTATGTGCTTTTGCTCACAGAATGTCCCACTGGGAGAGTCTTTGTCTCTTCCAAATATTCTGGAGCCAGCTGGGAAAAGGCCAGTCTTGAAAGTGCTGAGGCCTGAGCCAGTGTGTTCTCCTTCTCCCTACTGTAGCAGTCCTTGGGGAGGATATGGCTCCAGACCTACTCGTGGAAGGGACTGGAAGGGACGCATAAGGAGAGATGGGAGCGCATTTCTACGCCTTGACAAGAAGAGAGTCTGCCCTTGCCTGGCCCTCCTCTCCCCTCTACAACACTAAAAAATTATGGCCTGTTGCTGATTAGTCATGGAGAAATTAGCCAACTTTCCAGACTTAATTTAGGAGCCTCCTGTTTTCCTTTCTGAAAATCTGGAGACAAAAATGACAATTCAGGAGTTATAGTGCTCAAACGTTTTTTCTTTCATTTCAATCATGTCAGTGACTTTGTGCTTTGGTGACAGAGGTAAAAAGTTTATGTTGTGCCAGTCTGAAATGCCAAAAATCGAAGAAACGTGAGAGAGTAGCAAGCACACACACACACACACACACACACACACACACACACACACAGTGTGCAAAAACCCTTCAGAAATGGTAATATTTTAATGCCTGCAGTGACAGATTAGGAGCACATTGGGATTACACAGGCCTGAAGTGTGAATGTGTTATGCAGGCTAAACCCAAGCTTTTGAGCAGAGCTGTTATGTTGAAAGCTAAAGGAGAGAATTCGAATCTCTGATGTTTTCTGATTCTGGTCAGATCAGGAGGCCCAGTCCTGAGCTTTTGTCTGTGGGGCAGAAGGTTTAGGTGCAACAGGTAGAGAGACCAGAATTCCTGAGAGAAACAATAGAATGGTCTTCATTTTCAGCTGAAATGTCACCTTTAGAAATACCAAAGTCATACAACGAAAGCCTGCTGGTGACAAGCTTTTAAGCTTTTAAGAAGGAAGCTTTACTTTTAAGAAGGAAAAAAATGGAAGTGTTAAAATGCAGCAGTAGCCGTAAGGACAGCGCGGCAGGAGTGAATAGAGGCCTACACCGATTGTAAGAATCACGCTTCTGTTCATGGCTTTATTCAAAAATAAACCCCACAGTTTATGTGTATATAGGCAAGTATATGCATTATAAAACAGGTGCCTCAACATTTCGGACATAGAAGAAAGGATTTTACTAAAGTTCATAATGTAGCTTCATTACAACATTTACTTTGCCAGGAATAATCAACAAATGGATCCATAGTTCTAATTCTTTATTCAGTTACTTCTGTACTCCACTCCCTTCTGGCTCCGAGCCACTATGTGTAATGAGTCAGGTGTCTAGAGGTCAAAATCTAGGTCACCAGTAGGCCACTGAGTACACAGCAAAACTAAACTGGTACAATGAAGGAGATACATAGATTCAATGGCACAATCCATTAGAGAAAATGTATCAATGAACCTTGCAGATGGACTTCACCAATTATTAATGAACTGCAGGCTAAGTGAAAGTCCTCAGTCTTAGGGGCTGATAGAAGTTAGTACAGAACTAAAGGATATTAGTTGTAACCAGCATTGTTATTTCCATTTGGGGGCTGCTACTCTTATTTTCAACTAACACCTATTAATTAATTACCTTCAGTGTAATCAAGATAAAAGAAATATAAAAAATAGTTTGTATAACTTGGTAATGGACTAGGGGTAAGGACATTGATAGATTTTTAAATTTCTCTTCAGGGTTATAATAAAATGTTTCTCAAATGATTACATTTGTCTTTCCCTTCATTTTCCCATGTCAGTGGCCATATCACAGAGGTTTACTCATTCCGTATTCTAGTTATTCTGGGTGATTGTAACTTAATTTCTGACCTCCATCTCTCCAAATTCTTTTATACCATTAATACTTCAACTCCTCCCAGTATATTTCAATACAAAATTGTAATTGGGTACATTTATATTTTAGGGGCAAACCTGAATCCTTTCTGTATAGTTTACTTTTTCACTTGGTGTCGCTAAGTATGATATGTCACTTAAATAATTCAGGAAACAATATTCTTTCCCTAGTATAAAAGTGATCTCAAACACAAGTTGAAAGAATTCTACAATGTGACCAGGGATTTATTGTAATGAATTAAGCATTTAGTGTGGTGAACATAAATTACCTAAGAGTTTGCATTTTCCTAAGAAAAAACATGGTTTTCTACCTCTCCAAATTGTTCTCAAGCTTGAATGCATTCTAGAGACAAAGGGAATTGAACATTGAAAATATCTTTTGGCATTAAAATTAGCAGATGGCTATTTTATGGGTTGCTTGTTAAACCTCTTTGTCTTGGCTATCAACCAATATATACACACAGGTGAACTTACAGTTTGCTAATGTTCTTGGGGGTCTTACACCAGTTACCCCCTTCCTGGTCCATATGACCTGGACATCATACTTTCTAAGATCATTATTAAGTTAAAAAAAAATTTAGAAAAACTTCCAAACAACTCTTTCTGCTATGGACTGAATCATATCCTCCCCAAAGTCATATGTTGAAATCCTAACCCCTAATGCGGTATTTTTTGGAGATGGAGCCTTTGGGGAATAATCAGGTTTAGCTGAGGTCATGAGGTTGGAGCCCTCACCATGAGATTCATCCCCTCCTAAGAAGAGACACTAGAGAGCTTGCTCTTCCTCTATTTCTACCATGTGAGGACACAGTGAGATGGTGGCCACCTGCAAGCTAGGAAGAGGGCCCTCACCAGAATTCAACAATGCTGACACCGTGATCTTGAACTTCCAGCCTCCAGAACTGTGAGAAGATAAATTTCCCTTGTTTAAACCACCCAGTCTATATATTTTGTTATGGCAGCCCAAGCAGACTAATATATTTTCTTTCTATCCCTCCAAAATCTTATAGATTTGAATATTACGGGTTCCAATAACTAACTCTGCACTACTCTCTACATGGCACCCTAATTTGCTTGTAATTAATCCAGGGATCCTCAAACTTTTTAAACAGGGGGCCAGTTCACCGTCCCTCAGACCATTGGAGGGCCGTTGGACAGTGCGGCGCACATTCCACACATGCGCACTGTGGACCCGGGATGAGTTGGCAGCTAAGCAGGACAGGCAGCGGCGGCAAAAACACCTGGTGGGCCGGATAAATGTCTTCAGCGGGCCGCATGTGGCCCGAGGGCCATAGTTTGAGGACGCCTAAATTAATCTCTCAAACTCATTAATATCTTGTTTTTTAGCTGTCCCACAGCAATCTTCCTTTTCAGACACTCTTCCATTTGTTTGGTGATTTTCTTCATCACCTGAAATTCTATCATCTCTTTGGATTTCCTGAAGTTCCTTATTTCATATTAGACAGGAGCTCAGGGATGGAGTTGAGGAGATCAGAGAGTGAACTATTTAGCTCATTTTTTTTCTCCCAGAGAAATCTGTGTAGAGTATTAAACTCAAGGCCCCTGAAAAACCTAACAGAAATGGGGAACAAAATTGATAGCCAAAAGCATTTAACATATTCCTGATAAAAAATATATCAGTTTGGGATGCTTAAAAATTAAATAGCCACTCGTCCTTTTAAAAAGACTAATAGTCTAATTATTTTAGATACGATGTAAATAAGTAAAATAAGAACAAGTTTCATAGATGGACTTGGGTTTCACAGTCATTACTACCGAGAAATTATGAATTGTTCCCCAAATCTGTCATAACATGGCATAGCAGATGAGACATAGAAAATCACTGGAAAGAAGTTCTTGCCCCAAGAAAGTTACAAAATAAAAATGAATGCTCATTTTCAGAAAATTCTATCACTAAAACTACTTTAGTATGTAATAGTAAAATCACAAAAAGTCAAAAAGTAATCTTGGTTTTTACAAGCACTACAGGTACCTAGAAAATGTTATAAAAAGGCAAACAGTTTGCATAGAAATGGCTTTTCTTCACTTACAAGATGTAGGTGATTATTCCTACAGACCACATGTCCACCTCAGGTCCGTAGGCACAGCCTCTAAGAATTTCAGGTGCTGCAGAAAAAGTGAAAACTGTGTTAAATTGGAGCTAAATTCAACATTCACATTTTTATAGCAAGCAATGGGAAAGAAATGAATTCATCAACAAAACTTCAGAACAGTTTAGTTCGATCTTCTCTCCCCAAACCACAGTACAAGGCTAAAAATTCGTGTGTCTATTTCAGTGGGAGAGATTACAGTCCCTCTGTGTTTGTGATGCATAAAAGTAAAGCTATTAACTTTAATATTCTACCTTGGAACATTATGATACTGCTCAAATCAGACAGATAGGGCTACATCTCTGCTACAAAAGACCCCCTTACTTCAAAGGGAGCTTAGCACGTAGAAAAGGAAGGGTCAGGGCAGATGGCGCGGAGGATTGGCACGTCTCTATGCTGGAAGGTGGGCAAAGGATCTAGTAGGGGCCCTGGCACATGTAGGTCTCCAAAGAACAGCTGTTCCCAGTAGTCAGCCTGGGGTCATGAACTGAGAAACAGGGGCTTCTCTGCACACAAGGAGCAGCTTATGATACCCCTGACCACCGTTGGGAAAAGGGAACATCTTCTCAGCCATGAAATGGCCCTAGAATGGAGAACAGCAAGAACTTTCATATTTTTATTACCGTGGATCTGTAAAAATGGGGATGTTAACTGGGTCCCACCGGAGTTCACCCTGAGGAGTAGGGATGTTGTTTGTTGGCCTAACTAACAACATGAGAAAAAGAGGAATGAGAGCTCTGCCATCCATGGAGAAACAGGGCTCAGGCCTAGAGGCCAGAGTGGCCTTCGTCGATTTTGGACACAAGTGCCATAGATGCTGGTGAGGTCCCGGGGAAAGGAGCTACTTGACAAATGCCGAGGGCTCATTGAGGGAGCCTTGGGGACAAGGACACCACACTCCTCTGGGCCGGGGGCTGCCCACGCAGGCTGGAAATGTCATACTCAGCGTTGACTTAAGGAAGCTCTAGAAAGAGGCTATCCTCTAGGGCTCTGGACTCACTTTATAAGGAGAAACAGTGCAGATGTCCTGCTGACCTCTTCCCATGCTATCCCTTACCCTTTACCCTGCTCCAGTTAGGATTTTCTCTTCCCTGTAGAAACTGTGCGACATAAAACATAGGAGATGAAGAGCCTGCATGGTAAAATGAGGGGGTGTGTTCTATCACCCTAAACAGCAATTCAGCAAGATGCACCCTTTAAGAAATTGCATCTGCAGCCAAGTTTTCCTTATGTGCAGATGAATTCTTCCTAGAAAACTATCCTTTAAGATTTAATTAACGAAATTAAGAAAAATCCATGCTCAATGTCGACATTATTTGCTCTGTCAGGAAGAAGGAAAGCTTTCATTCCCTAGGGCAATCGGCACCGCACAGAAGGTGCCATGAGCCCCGGCAGTGAACTCCCACTTGCAAGCACGTTGCTTGTCACACTGCATGGGGAACTGAGATTAGGCTGCTGCTTGCAGGAGGGCTGCTGCTGCGTGTCTTTGTCTCCAGGAGCTGTTCCAGTCCGGGAGCTGAATGCATATGCGTATGGAGCATGCATATGGAGCATGAGTATGGAGCATGCGTATTGAGCATGCGTATTGAGCATGTGTGAGTCCTTCCCCGAGCAGGTCTTCACACCAGTGATTCTTACCTGGGCTGAAATGCCATCAAGCCTGACACTTGTTTAAACATAAATACACTTTAAACTGACACATATTTAAACATAAATACAGCAATGTGTTGGGGAGAGTCTTTTACATTTTCTGGGTCTTGGGATTTCTTTCTTTCTTTTTTTTTTTTGAGACAGAGTCTCATTCTGTTGCCTGGGCTAGCCTCACTCACAGCAATCTCAAACTCCTGGGCTCAAGTGATCCTACTGCCTCAGCCTCCTGAATAGCTGGGACTACAGGTACACATCACCATTTCCGGCTAATTTTTTCTATATATTTTTAGTTGTCCAGCTTATTTCTTTCTATTATTTTTTCTTAGTAGAGACAGGGGTCTCACTCTTGCTCAGGCTGGTCTCCAACTCCTGAGCTCAAAGGATCCGCTCGCCTCAGCCTCCCAGAGTGCTAGGATTACAGGTGTGAGCCACCACGCAGGTCTTGGTTTTTAACCTCTAAAATCTGAATGAATCAAACTAGTTGATTTCCAAGTTTACTTTGAGTTTTAACCTGTTACCTACTGTGCCATTAGTAAAGGATTAGTTTCTGGTCATTCAAGCAAGAAGAGAGGACAAACGCAAACACTCTAACCTGTAGAACATGCTACATTTCCCATTTCTTTGGCTAGAGTGCATGCTGCCCTGCGGGACTGAGCCTGTTGGCTCTAGTGAAATCAACCCTCCCATCCTGTGCTAGCCAGAGACACATCTTGGCAAGGCTCAGGTGTTTTCTCTGGCCATTTCTTATGGCTCCCAGCCCAAGGGCCCCAAAGAAAGTGAATACTGTGGAACAAAGTGTGTTTTGGATCCGCTATAGGGCCTCTGAGTTTCATACCCAACATGGAAATATCTGATCTCCCTTCACAGTGCCGGGTGCAACCTTACTTTCCTGAGGCACTTTATTAATATTTCCTTATGAGGCATTATGCAGCAATGTGAATAAATTTTTCAAGTGCAAAGCTAACTTCCATAGTGAGGATAACTGAGACAAAAGGAATATAGAATGTTTTTGCTCTCCATAATAAATTTCTCTTAAAAGTAATTGTTTTTAAAAATAACACATGTGTATATTTTGAGACAGGGTCTTGCTCTCTCTTCTAGGCCAGGGTGCAGTGGCTCAATCACAGCTCACGGCAGCCTCGACGTCCTGGGCTCAAGCGATCCTCCTGCCTCAGCCTCCCAAGTTGTTAAGACTAGAGGCATGCACCACCACACCCAGCTAATTTTTTAAAAAATAAGTTGTAGTAGAGACTGGATTTCATTATATTTCCTAGGCTGGTCTAAAACTATTGGCCTCAAGAGATCCACCAACCTTGGCCTCCCAAAGTGCTGGGATTACAGATAGGCCTGAGCCACCATGCCTGGCCCCAACAGAGCTTACATATTTTTATATCGTAATGTAAAATTGGTGTCAAACAAAGTCAAAACACATAGCTACAATTAGATACCTTTCTCAATCACCTTTAAATATTTTCAATTACTAGTTAATATGACCTCAACTTTGTTCAGAACCAGCAACACATACTCTTGTAATCTAGCTGAACCCTTTCCAAGAGGCAAACGGTTTTCTAGAATAAAGTTCAGGTTCTGGCACTCCATGCTTTGAAGTCTCCTAGGTATCAAATGTCCTTGGCAGGTGATTCTACTAATTTGTGATCTTCTTAGAATGGGACATAGTTGACTGCTTTCAATTTAGTTCAAGAAACGAAAAGACATCAATTAGTCCACACTTCATGCTATAAGCACTTCTGGCTGTCCTTCATATATTTTCTCTCTTCAGTACAAAAGCGAACAAACAAATAAACAAAATAGAAGTAAAAGAAAATAATTTTAAGGTATAAAACAGTTTTTTAAAACATATTTTAAAAGACTTAGGATCATATTTTCTGAATTATAGATAAGCTGTACGATTCCTACTTATTAAAACTGCAGAGCAGCATTCTTTATCAGAAGATGTTTTCAAGCTATTGTTAACTCTTTTAAGGAAAATCTGAAGAAGACTAAGGTGAATGAAATCAACAAGATCCTTCATTCACTCAGTAAATAACTCCCCAAATATTTATTAGGCACCTGCTGTATGATAGGCTCTGTACAGGGGCTGCTGGCAGATAATGGACATCACAGAGAACAAATCCCTGCCTTCATGGAGCTTATATTTGGTGGTGGGGGGAAGATGCTAATCAAAAACATCAATTGAACAAAAGCAAAGTGGTGACTGGAAGTGCTTGGAGGCAGGATATCTTTAGTAGCTGTTGGCCTGGTCATGGAGGTCATGGAAGGTGACCCGAGCAAGCAAAGTTTGAACTGAGATGTGAAGGATCTGGAGAAGTTAACTAGCCAACGGGAAGAAGGAACTGGCTGAGGAATGAGAGAGAAGAGACTTGCAAGTGGAGAAAGCATCTGTGCAAAGACCCCATGGCAGGAAGGAGCCAGGGGGCACTGGAGGAACTGTCAGAACCCAGCACGGGAGGGGTAGACAATGGACTAGAAGCAGCCCATGTGTGTGCTGCTCTCAAGGAGAGGACTGAAAGTTGTAGGCACGTGCCTACCTACAGATGGCTCTTCTCGGAAAGAGCATTATAAAACTCTGTAGAAGTGATGTGGGACACGCAGAATGAAGGAGAAGGTGACAGGGCAATTCTTTGGCAAGACTGAAGGGATCTGAGGGGAGGCATCGACAGGTGGGGAAGGGCTGGAGGATAAAGGGCTGGGGCCTAATTCACCCCACAGACACTGCAAGCTGTGAGGATCTCCTTCCACCACCAAAGACCTCTGGACTGATCATGGAGCTGCTCTGAGTCTGTGCAGAGACATCATCGCACTGGAGAGCAGGTGCAGCAGGGATCTGGTGGCCGCCAATCCTGAGCTACAGCAGCTGATGCCATCCTGAGCTCTCAGGTGCATGGCCCCAGGTCTGCTCCAGGCTCGGCTTTGCAGCAGCAGCTTTTGCATCAGCCAAACTGGACTGCGGAGGGAGCTAGCAGAGCAGACACTCCTCTGTGCCATGCCCTGTGACTGGGAGGTTAGTGTCCTTCCCCCCGCCCCTCAGTGCAGGATCTGAGCAGAGGAGGTACCTCAGGCACCCACAGGCACCACCTGGGAAGCCTTGGGTGACTCTCTTAGCAAGATCTAGCTGAGGGGAAAGCCCTGGCCCACCTCCACAGTCTTTGGGCTGCTGCAAATAATCCCCACCCATGTGACATGGCATGTGAAGTCCCCACACCAGTGGAATAGCCTCTTGACTATGTGGTTCTGCCTCCAAGGTCCCCACTCCCAGTTCTTTTTTTTTTTGGAGACAGAGTCTCACTCTGGTGCCAGGGCTAGAGTGCCGTGGTGTCAGCCTAGCTCACAGCAACCTCAAACTCC